ATTTAAGCGGTGAACTTAATATTATTAATTATAATAATAACGAAAAAATAAATGATTTTATTAACGATTTAAATAATATGCTTTTATTATTTATTAAAAAATATAAAAAAATTATTAATGTATGGATTTTTTTTTTTATTTATTTAATTAAATTATTTTTACATAAAGTTATATAATAATAAGTTTAAAGGAATAAAATTTAAATTAATTTATTATAAATGTTAATTTTATTAATATAAAGTAAAAAAAGCGTAAATAAGTTAATGTTTTATTTATAAATTAAAATATTTTATAAAATAATAAATATATTATTAAATATTATTAAAGAATTATATAAGCAATGAATATAAAGGGATAATATGTTTAATTAATAAGTTTTATAATAAAGTTATTCGGATATTATTTAATAATTAAATGTGTATTAAATTTTACGTTATAAATAATTAATATATATAAATATATTACGAAATAAATTTAATATATTAATATTTTAAAGTTATTTATTTATTTAAAATATTCTTATATTAAACATATAATTAATTTATATATATTTTAAATTTATTATAAAATATAATATACTTAAATTTTATATTAAAAAAGAAAAAAAAAAAAATATGTTAAAATAATTTAATGGAATTAAGTATTATTATTTTCTTTTATAAAGCTAGGACGGGATTTGTAATATTTTTTAAGAATGGGAATGTTTTATAAAATATATATTATATTATAAAAAGTAACTTTATTTTAATTAATTTAAATTAAAGTTAAATCCATTTTTTTAAAATTAATAATATTTAATATTAATATATTAAAGGAATTAATACCCGGTTAAAAAATGTTTTTATTATTAAAAAAAAGGTTATTATTTATTAAATTATTAAAATTATTATAAGAAAATATCGAATAAGATTATTTTTTTACATAACTTTAAATATTATTATTATTTAAAAAATAACAATATAAATTATAAAAAAGTAAGTTTTTATAATTAAAATATATTAAATAAATGTTATTTTTATTAATAATACCATTATTAATTAAATTATTATTTTCATAAACTTATTTATTATTTTTATTTTGGAAGTTATCCTTAAATAAAAATTATATTATAATTAATTTATTTATAATATGTTACGATTACTTAAATTAATTTAAATTTATTATATAAAGATTAAATTTAATTTTTTTTATTTTTATAATAAGTATAAATGAATCATTAAAAAACGATTAAATAAAATAAATAAAAAAATAATTCCAATGAATTTATGGTATAAGCCGAATTTAATAATTATAATAATAATAAATAATTTTTAAAAATGAATTTAATAATAAAATATTATTAATATGAAAATAATATAAAATTAAGTTATATTTATTATTAAAAAAAAAAATATTAACGATGACGGTTTTAAGTATAATTATAACGATATTTTTATTAAATAATTAATAAATATTAAGTTATATTTATAAAGTATTAAATGTTTAATAAATGGAAGTTCCCTCGCGGGCTTTTACTTAATAATTATATATATAATTAAATTTAAATTATTTATTTTTAAATTAAAAAATTATATAAATATATTCATTCTTTTAATATAAATTAATGAATGTATAAATTTATTAAATCGTATTATTAACGTCGTTTATAAAAGAATCACGTTATATTAATTATAATATTAAAATATTATTATACGGAAAAAACTAATATATAAAGTTCGGAATAAATGAATATTAAATATATTTTAAATATTTATAAAAATAAAAATAATACCTTAAGTTATAAAAAATATTATTATTAAGTGTAATGATAATAAAATATTATTCGATAAAATTTAAATTTATTAATAAAAAAAAATAAATATACGTAAAATATTTTTAATTATAAAGTTTTTAAATAAAAACTTTAATAAAATAACTTTAAAAAACGGATTTTTTACTTTTACTTTTATTTAAAATATTACGTAAAATAAAAGTATAATAAAAATTATTCGGTTTTATTATTTATAATAAATTAATTACTTCCGATTTTTTATAAACATTATTAATTTTTTTATAAAATTTAATTTTTTAATAACCTTTATTATATTTTTAAATATTATTAACGATAATATAATAAATATAATATATAACATTATATTAAACACTATTATTATTAAAATGTTAAAAATTAAAAAACGGATTTAATATAAAGTAATTTAAATGATATATTTGGAAAGATATATTAATAATATTTTAAAAAAAATTATTATTAAATTATAATAATTTAAAAGTAAGGAAAATCTTAATAAGTTTTCTTATAATTTTAATCGTAAATGGCTTTATATTTAACATTAAATTAAAAAATAATAATTAAAGAAAAGAAAAAAGCGTTATTATAAAAAACGGAACTATTATTAAAGTTTTATTAAAAATATTAATATAATTATTATTTATTAATGTTTTATTATTAAAACGGTTAAATATAACGAATAATTTAATTAAAATAAAATAATATATATATATAATATATAAAAATAAATGGAATAATAATAAAATTATAATAAGTTTTAAAAGAAAAAAAAAATAATAATAATATAATAATTAAATAACACATTTTATAACTTAATTATAATTATAATGCGGGAAATTATAACTTTAAAATTATTAATTAATTGAATTTTAAATTATATAATTTAATAATAAAATTATAATAAAAAATAAATAAAATGGTGATCGATTTTAAAGCGGTATATTTTAAAGGAAATAAAAAAAAAATATTAAATAAAATTCGGAATAATTTATATTATATTCGAAATAATTTATATTTTATTTAAAATGATTTACGTTAAAATTATTATTAATAATTAATTAAAAAAATGTATAAATTAAAACATATTACAAAACCTAATTTTAAAATTAAAATAATATTTTTTTTAATATTAAATTTTTTAAACTTTTAATTTATATTAATTATATTATAATTAAATAAATGTATAAATTATTAAATATTACATATTCCGATTATTTCTTAAATATATATTTAATTAAATTTAATTACATTAAGTTATTTTTTAAAATAATTACGTTATTTAAATTTAAAATTATTTTAATATTTAATAATTATAAATGAAAAAAATACTTTATATATATAATTATGGTTTTAATTAATATATTTTTATTTTTAATTAATAATGTTATTACTTTTAAAATTATTAATCCTTATTAATAATATTATTACTTTAAAAAAATTAAAAGCAAGGATAATAATTATAGGATTAAAATTTAATTATTTTTTAAATAATAATTAAAATGAATGAAAAACTAAACTTTTTATTATTATAAAACCTTAATAAAAATATAATTTTATATAATTTAATAAATTAAATTTAAATTATAAAACATAAATGGTATTTAATTATATTTATATTTTATTTTATATTATTTATATTAATAATGTTTTAAATTAAGCTTTTATAAATAACGTAATTATATATTTTTTTTAAAAATTATAAACCGTAACATTAAAAAATCGAATTATTAATCCGGTTTAATTAAATTTAAAGTTATTATATTATTAAAGGTAGCTTTTAATTATTAAGTTATTTATATTAAACAAGTAATAAAAAAATAATAACTTATTTATTTATTTAAATATTTATACAAGTAAAAAAAGTTTTTTAACATTATTACCTCTTAATTATATATTAATAATTATCACTACTTTTAATAATAACTTTAATATAATTACATTAAAATAACGTTAAAACATTTTAACTTATTTAATAATTAATTAATTAAAATTAAATATAAATTATAATTATAATAATTAATTAAAATTAAAATAATTATATTAATATATTATTTTTTTTAAAATATTATTTTATTTAATTATTTATTATTTATATATATTTATTATTTATATAATATTATTATATAAAAACATTATTATTTTTTTTATTATAATAATTTTTTATTATTATAATAATTTTTTATTATTATAATAATTTTTTTTTATTATAATAATTTTTTTTTTTTATAATAATAAATTTTAATAAAATTTATTAATTAAAATTTAATAATTAAATTTAAAATATAAATTTTAAAATCCGTTTTAATTTTATATACGCGTAAATTTATAAATTAATTAATTAAATAATTAAATACGTAATAATTTATAAATTTATATTATTTATAATATATAATAATTTTAAATTTAAATTTTATTTAATATATATATATAAAAAAAATAAAAAAAAATATTTAAATATTATAACATTTTCTTTAATTAAAAAAATATTTTTATTTTTTTTTTTTTTTATTTAAAATTAACTTTATTCTTATAAAATAAAAATTATTATATATTTAAAATTATTTTAATTTAATTATTTTTATAATTAATTATAATATATTTTTTTATATAATAATTATTATTTAATAATATATATTATTAAAATATTTTATTCGCGTTTTAAAAATTTTTTTTTTTAATAAATATTATTTTTTTATATATATAATTAATTAAAAATTTTTATATTATTTTATAATAAATATATATTTAATTATATATTATATTTAATATATTAAAAACATTATTTTTTACATTTATTATTTTAAAAATAATTTAAAATATTAAAGTCATTATATAAAAATGTTTAAAATCCCCCCCCACCCGGGTAGGTAGGCAGCGGCAGGTACCTTTCCGGGTTCCACTCACCCCGGCCGGCTTCCGATTTATAGTGGGCCCGACGGCCGGTCTTGTTTCTAAGCGGACTGAACGGAGTATCCAAGAACCCAAAATATTTTCTCGCTTAATCTACAGAAAACTTCACGACTAAGCTCCAACTCCGAGCTTCATGATTATTGGTGTGGTGTTTACCAGAACTTCCAAGTTGAATGGATGTAGGGTTATCCCGATTAGCTACCTTGCTAGTAAGTTGCTACCCCTGAAAAGTAATGCCTATACCAAGTGATTATGCTATCAATTCCCACAGTGATGCCACTTTATCAGTTATTTGTGCCATGGAGTGATTAATCCTTAATTCTTGTGGTGGATACGGAGGGAATGAATCGAGCTAGGCTACCTATCCTTGGACCTCTATCGAAACCCGGGGTTATCAGGCAGGTTGTCTTAGGAATTAAAGGAACTGTCAAAATAAACCCTTCGAGGTCATATCTGCCTGGATAGAAGGGTGCTTAGATGCCTAAGCATGAACATGAAGTGGCAGATGTCCTCATTCTTCCTAGAGCTACCCATACAAAAGACCAAAGATCTATCATATTCCAATGATACCATGAACATTCCATTTACCATAATCTACTTGATCCATCGCAAACTCTATGACTGTCCTCACAAACTTGGTGAGCTCTTCTGACACGCATGGGCATGAACGGCACAAGTGAGTTATGCGCCTCATGGGAACCATCACTTGTAACTTACCACGCTAGAAATGATTGAAATTCGCCGACTAGAATCCGATGGCGGTGAAGCAGTGTTCGCGGCAGTGGATATCCGCCGAGGCACGCGCTTTGCTGCCGAGCTCCCTCTCGTAATGGTACCACCCGTGTCCGACAACGATGAGATACCTGAGTTTTATAGGGCTATCGACGACCTGCCACAAGAAAAATCAGCAGAGATGGCCCAACTACTCGGTCATCCCGTAGTCACTGAAAGTATCAAGAAGGACCCACAGGTCCGCCACGAAGCTTGGAGCTTCTACAAGGCTAAGAAGTGGAAGAGCAAGGAAGGAACTCACCTTCAGGGAAAGAAGTTAAGAAGAGCGGTTACGAGAATTACCAACCTCTGCGCCGTCTATCTTGCCCATAACGTCCAGCTAGGTCCGAAAGGAAAATACGGCTCGGGCGTTTTCTCCTTGTATAGCCGGATTGGTCACAGCTGCGTGCCCAATGCGTATAATTCATGGAACCCGACGTTGGAGCGGTTGACCATACACGCACTCCATGACCTCAAAGCAGGCGACCAAATTTTTGTAAATTATACCGGTAATGTCTGTCGAACTCGCCAGCAGCGTGCGTTTTCTCTCGCAGCCACATGGGGGATAATTTGCAGCTGCCCGGCTTGCACTGAGCCGGCAATCGATCAACTGCGCCGTCGTATGCTAATCATGGACCAAGCTTTGGCAGCATACACATGCGGCGCGTCTCAAGAGCCGAATTTCAGTGCCATCTATGGCGTCCCTAGAATAGTGACGGCCAAAGAAGCGCTGAAGACGGCAGAGGAGCTTTCACATCTCCTCAAAAGACAGAGGCTATGTGGCATGGAGCTTTGTAAGGCGTAAGTGATGCTCGGGGAACTCTTGAAACTGTACCATACAAGGCGTGGTTAATGAAGGCGATGACAGGTTTCGCGAATGTTCGAAGTACGCCCTCAACGCCGGGCTCACGGCTAAGGCCCTTGGATATGCGCGCAAAGAACTAGACCTTGAGAAACTGTTGATCGGTACTGAAACCACTCATCTTGTAGAGGACCTCAACGGTGCTAAGTATTGGACCGACTACGTACGAAATGAGATAAGTCGTATTCCATCTCATGCAGAGTATTAAGGACATGACAAAAATTTCGGCCATGAGTGGTATTGTGTAGGAACTGCGCTTGGGCTTTGGGACGGGAATGGGTGAAGCCACTCAATTACTTATTTGAGGGCATATGACAGGTTCATCATCGACTTCTGGATAGGTACTTACTAATCTAGATTGTCCCCAACGATTTCTTAATCCATGCATTAGATGGTAGATGGTATGTGCGAGTAGTCAAAGACCCTTTCATCCATCACATTGTCTAAACGCTACGTACAAGCTTAGGGCTTAGATCGCAGGCAGCAGTGTTTATGGGTTATTAATACAATAAAGGTAAGTACTTACTATGTTAAAATATACCTTTATAGGGATGGTAATTATTATTTAATGGATTTATTAACTTATTACGTTTTATATTATAAGTATATATTTTTATATATAAATTTATATAAAGGAATATATATATTTAATAATAAATTAAAAAATTAAATAAATTATTATTTTTTATTATTATTTCGAATATTTTTTATTTTATTATATGTTAATAATAATAATAAAATTAATAAATTTTTAAAAATTATTTATTAAATTATTAAAATAATTTTTTTTAATTAAATAACGTTTAAAATTTATAAATTATATATTAATTTTAATTAATTTTTTATTTATATTTATACGTTTTTTATAAAATTTAAATTAAAATTATTAAATAATTATTTAAAAATATAAATTTTAAATTTATTTAAATATTTATTTATTTTTTTAAAAATATAAAAAAAAATATTATTATATATATATACGGTATAAATAAAAAATAAATTTAAAAATTTTTTAATTAAAAATAAAATAAATTTATAATATTTATTCGAATTAATTTTATTTAAAACTTTAAATTATATAAAATAAAAATTTTTTTTTTCGATTTTAAAAATAAATGTAATAATTTAATTAATTACATGTAATGAAATTTAATTTAAAACGTTTTAAATTAATTATTAAATTATTTAAATTTAAAGAAAAAAAAATTTATAAAAAAATACGTGGCACCGTAAAAATTAAAATAATTTTAAATAAAACGCACGGGTTATTTTTATTAATTATTAAAAGTATAATTTTATAAAAATTAAACCACATTTATAAGTTAAATTACATTAAAAAAATGCGAACCGTTATAATAAATTTAAAATATTTAATTATAATAATTTTATTTTTTAAAAAAATTAAAAATATAAAAATTTTTAAACTTATAAATTATAATTAATTTAAAATAATTAATAATATTTATATATTATATTTTATTATTTTAATAAAAATTTTTTTAATTAAATTTTAAATATAAATTAAATATTTAAAAAAAATTTTATTTATTTAATTTAATATTTTAAGTTTTAAAAAAATAATAAAAGTTTTAAATAATTTTATAATTTTTTATAAAATTTAAAATCTTTAAATATATATTTTATAATTAAATTATTATAATAATTAATTTCGGGGATAATATATTTAAAATTAATTTAAAAAATAAAATAATATTATTTATTAATAAAAAAAATAATAATAAAATTTAAATTTTTAATAATTATATTTACGTTTTATAATAACCGTTATTTTTTTTAAATATAAAAAAATTATTTAAAATAAAATTAATTTAATAAAAAATATAATTAATTATTTCGGAAATTTTATTACACGTAAAATTAAAGAAATATTTTTTTAATATTTAAATTTTATATTTATTATTTCGAAAAAAAATTTTAATTTTTATTCGTTTAATTCGACGTAAATTTTAATATTATTAATATATTTACCGTTTTAATTTTTATTTAAATAATACGCGTAATAAAAAATTTTATTAACGTTATATTAATTATTTAAAAATTTTTATAATAAAAAATATAAAAATAAAATATTAACGAAATATATAAATAAAATTTTTTTTTAAATATTTATTTATTATAAAAATCGGTATTTAATTTATTTTATAAATAAATTTAATATAATTTTATAAAAATAAAAAATATCGTAATATATTAAATTTATAAAATTATATTTTTTTTTATTATTTATAAATTTTATATATTTTTTTATATAAATAAAATAATAATATATATATTTATAATATAAAATATAATAAGTTAATAAATTTATTAAATAATAATTATTATCTTTATAAAAATATAATGTTAATTAACGTATTTTATTAATATTAATGGTTTGTTAAAACTTAAGTACCTTATGTACTTAAGAATAATAAAACCAATCGGCTCACGGTGTTTTCTTGTGCTTTTCTCATTTGTTCGCACTTCGCATTTAAGCTGCGCCACAATCTTAGAGCAGGAAGGATTTCAGCTGAGGCCGATTAATTGATCATTCAACAATATGTATTTACTAATCTTCGCACACGCTTACGATCTAGTAAACTTCATCTTTTATTTATTACAGAAAAAAAGGAGCAACTAACCAGTGTAATCGCTTTGGCAGATTATTTCTTTGACCGAAGTTATTCGTATATACATTCTTCTTCTGGCTGTTTCTTGGCATGTCCTATTGTGTTTTCAGGTCTTTTCTCGAAACTCACCTTTGACATTCCCCGGAAAAGTAGGACGTGGCCGATGCTAGAAAGGATCTATACTTCAAGAACGGGACTATAGCCTCTTGGGTATGGATTCTCAACCATCCATCGTCGCCGACAAGGCAGCTATTTCTAGAAGGCCAGTCCACCGCCCATCGGATGGAGCTGGTCCCAGCAATCCTCCCCCGGTAGTAGAGCTTCCAGCCGATATTCCCGTAGGGCTACCGGGGGGACCTCCGGCTGAGCTGTCGGCTGGTGATCTTGCAGCCAACACCCAGCATCATATGCCACCACCATACTCCAGCCCTGCAGATAATACTGTAGATCCTCAATTACCAAAAGGCCCACAATATTATCCCGGCCTTCCCATCCTAGACTACCGTCAATACCTGCCGCCCATGTTTGAGCTATCGGCAGACACCACAGCTATTACCACCAAAGCCAATTACCTGTCTGAAAACCCGAAAGCTCTGGCCTCATTACTGCGATCCCTGGCTACCGTACCGCCAAAACCCCAAGTACTGATCCAGGGACGGCGTGACCGGAAAACGGATTTCAGTCTCAAACTGAATCTTATGAACTTGCTTGTCTCTAACGGTGCTCATGATCGCCTCGACTACCTCCGGTGCGTCGGCAAGGATGAGATGGCGCTACGCGGAGGAACCGAGCCGGGGCTGAAGCCTCACTTTGGTATAGACAATGGGTTGGAGGCATGGTGCGATCGATATGTTAAGGACTCCGCGTCGATCAAAACCTTCACACTCGAGCGGGTCGTAGCAAACCTCGATACGAACTGGATAGAAGGCCAAGTCCGAAGCCTCGTTGCGTCTACGGACTACAAAGGCCAAGTCATAGTACAGTTTCCCGTTACACACGCCAAAATCATCGTACAAAATCCGGACAAACATAATAAGTTCTTGACAAGCGTCACGTCACTGTTCTCTAGTAAAAGCAAGTACGAGGTCGTCAAGGCTGTGTGGCCGTTCGCTACAGGCAGGAATGGTGAGCCTGGGCGAAGGTGCGTCGTGCAGAGTGAGAAGACGTGGTGGGAGGAATGGCGCGATCCGATCAAGTACGCCATTGCGACAAAACGTAAGGGTTGGGTCACGAATGAGGATAAACTGGAATGTATTATGGAAAGCAAAGGGAAAGGCATTTCTCTAGTGGACTGGGGCCCGGAATTCTAGACGTCAACATTGGGGCCAAATATGAATCGTCTCACCTCTTCCCAAGCAAACAACATGATTGGGTATATTCCTCTTGGTTGATACCATCTCTAAGTAATATAATTTTATTAGTAGTTGCAAGGCAGCATGTCGTCCAGAGCACAAACATTAGAAAGTCAAGACCTACCTCGTAAATACCATACCTATTTTATTTATTATCCCGAATACACAACTCTTGTCACTTTTCTACTAGTCCTATCCTCAAGACGTATCTTACAGCCTTGATACTTCTTTTCCTAAGCACCAAGGGGTGTTGCGAGTTCCAACGGAACGGGTTTTGTTCGGATTTTAAGCACTAGGCCTACAATTTCCCGTTGAACAATGCAGCTTATTATTACAACTCACACGTTTCATCCTAATATAAATATGTATGTGATTCGTGGAATTTGCCATTGTCTGGATGTACGTATTGATGCATTATATGAAAAGGGGGTCACAGTCCTTTTGAGAAAGGTAGTATTGTCAAAGCCATACCGACACGATATTGATTAAAACCAACAAGTAAAAATAGTTGCCACTGTAATCCATGAGTTAGCCCAACTATATCTCATGTCTCCAATTATATGCAAAGCATGTCAATCAAGCGGTGAGCTCAAGTTAAGCTGTTAAAAGCCAGTTATTTGGCTGTTATCTGGACGCATGGTACTAGTTATCACGATAACCTTTTCTTACAACATATTGTATGGGCTAAGACGTGATACGCAACGATGGCTGCGAGAGTTTGGGTACAGATCAGACTGTAGATAAAAGACCAAGTATTTGAGTCCTGTACTAACACAATATGTGTCGATCCATGAAATTATTGACGAGGTGTAATGGATAATAGTAATGCAAAGCCACTCCAGAGGTATCATTTCTAATTAAACTTAGGTATTTCCCTCCCAACATCTTAGCGCCGTTAAACGTATCAAGTAACCCCTTCGATAACTCCCGTAGTTCGTCTCATAACATCTCATGTACTCGTCCCGAATCCGGAGCTACGGCTCTTGTAACGCTTGACGGAGGGAGCTCTGATACCCTCTGTGAGTGTGAACTAAGTTCTGACGGCTGGTAGGATGGCTTGAATACTCCCAAATCTTGACTTGGAGACATGGCGCTGTACTCTGGGTGGTTTGGCCAATCTGCAATTTGCTGGATGGCTTCTGGCTGACCCTTATCTCTTCCACTTCGATATTTCCAAAATGCAAATGCCGCAGCAATCAATATGAGAGCTCCCCCTATGCCGCCTCCAATGCCACCTCCGATCGCCGCTGCATTTGATGACCCGTTGGTAGATGGCGTGCTAGCCTGGGAAGGAGAAGATTCGGTGGATGGCGTTGAAGATGTCATTGGGGCTGTAGCCATAGATGATGCAGACATCGTAGTAGTACTAGATATAGTACTAGATGTAGTAGATGCATTGATAAGATTGATGTAGTGGGAAAAGAACACTGGTGAGCTACCTGGTTCTGAGCAATTCCACACTCCCAAGTAAGCCTGGGTGCCATTGTTGAGGTCAATATCACCTATAGAGCCATCCCAATAGAGGAAGTTCCTTGAACTACCGTCGAAACAGCCTTCGATTGCGAGTCAGTAGCTACACATGAGAAAATCTCGTTCATTGAGAATGGAAAACCGAACCAGTAAGTGGATGTGTTAGGACTGAATCTGGGTTCCCTTCTTGGCAAAGTATGATTTCCATGGTGGTCATATTTGAGACCCATTTGAATGGCTGGGCTTGAGCTTGCCCGACAGTGAAGTTCTCATTCGACTCGAAGACGGAGGGATCATTGCTATACTGAGGTCCGGCAGCTTTAGGATAAATGAAATAATTGTTCGGATCTTTAGGTCTATTGTCTTGTGCAATAACTAGCCAGGGAATTAGAAATATGTACAAAAGAGTAGACATTACGGCAAAGGTGAACGAGTGGCAAAATGCCTATGTCTTGGAAACGAAGGGATGACGAGGAGAGATCAACGTGGAGGTCACATCCACGTAGAGAACGGGAGAAACTTACAAATTATCGGATGATATACCAAAATCACACAGGATGTTATCAATTGTCGAATCACAACTTTTCTTGTTAGTATTCCTAGCATAGAAAACGTCTAAGAAGTCGAAGCGATATTGTAGTGTCCATTCTGGAACTGCGCATGGTACGTAGCAGCATGGGCTTAGGCTGCTGGGCCACTCACAAAACATTTTGGCGTAGAGCTGAACCAACGGCGCATATTTAAGGAAAAGATTGGCGGTTCTCGCTAAAAGTTCACGGATTCCGCAAAGTCCTACCCATACTTTAAGCGCCGAGGCTCCAACTTGACCAATATCTCAATGTTATGGATAGCCGTGAGAAGCTTAAGTGACCATACTTCAACGAGCCTCAATTATTCTATGTGTTGAGCTGCTTATAGCCGTGCCGGATGCTTGAATATTCGCGATTGATGAGATACAGAAACTCTGGCATGTAACTCATGTACCCCATACTAATTTGACTGTATATTGCGTTGGTAGCAGTATGACAGCACACAATTATGTGTTAGGAATATTCTGTCAACCGGTGAGTGCGATCAGTGCAGCCGGGACAGGCTGTGAGCGGCGTAGGTTACATTTCTCATGTACCAACGGTTTAATGGTGACCAACGGCCAATAGGCTATTGGATCATCTTCACGGCAATGTGTAGGGTCGGACGACGCTGCTATTTTTATCGTAACAGTGAAGGCAGGCTCCAACTGAGATCTACATTAACGACTTTATCTCTGGCGGCGAGTATTCATTCCCACACCACTCCACCTCTTTCATACTCATTATGTTTCTTGAGAATGCTTTTCGGGATTATCCACACTCTGGCCGGCCACAGATCCTCTGGTCTCGGTTCAAAACCTTGTCGCGATAGCAATATGTTGCGGCCGAACTGGGCAGGCTATGGAACCGTCCAACGTACCAGGTGTGCTGTCATCGCTCTTGTTGTCGTCATCTTAGTCGTGGGACTCTGGCAAAGTCGGGACAATGTCTATGCACAATTGCAGAAACACAAGTCTATCGTTAGTCAATCGAAGTCTTCCCCACGAGAAATCGCAGCGAACTCTACACTTGGAGTAAGTATTTGGCTCTTGGGCCATCCCGCATCATCCATCTCCGTGGCCCTACCCATCCATGCTATTTTGCCCACTGACTTTGGTGTAGTTCCAAAAGATCTTGGCACTCTCGTCGAAGCCGAGTTGGCGAACCCGAGGTCTTGAAGCAGCAGGCCACATAACGGGCCTGGAGTTTACGATTCCGCCTCAGGGGCAGAACTCCGATGACTTGATAAGGGCATTTCAGAACATTGGCGCTGATAGAGGCGCCAAGAGACCAGAATATGGCTCGGCTAGAGCATGGCTTTCACACCTCGATCTTCTGAAGTATGTCATAGCCTCGGACCTCGAGACTGCCTTGATCATAGAAGACGATGTCGATTGGGATGTTCGGATCAAGTCAGAGATGCGCTTGGTTTCCGATAACGTTCGGGCCTATACCCGCGTTAGAGAAGATGACCCTACACCTTTCGGGAAGAACTGGGATGTCTTGTGGCTCGGCCATTGCGGCTCTATCATCACCGATGACATGGCCGAACCTCGTGTCTATGCGGATGATTCGCGCTGCGAAACGGACCTATACTCCGGATGGTCGAAGCGCTTTCTTAGGGAGAAATTGACGGAAGGACATCGTCAGGTCCAAACTTCCATGTTGACGGTCTGCACTTTCGGGTTTGGCGTTACGAAGCATGGCGCACGTAAAATGCTGCCTCTGTTATCGAAAGGAGGCGATGAGGCGTATGATGTTGCGTTGTCTGGATATTGTCGAGACCAGAAACTCAAGTGTCTTGTCGTCAATCCTCAACTATTCAACCACTACGAACCTCCGCCAGACTCGGGCTATCTAAGCGATGTACACGTTGGCGATGGGAAAGGCCAGACGAGCGACGACGTAGATTTTGAGGATAGCATGGGAACGACGGGGAACATAATGAAGAGCGCCCGGTGTGAGGCTTTGTTTCATGAAACGTGCATGAGACCGCCCTCAGACTTATAAAACGGTATGATTATCTTTAGCGTGGCGTTAACCCATATGGACGTAAGGATCATTACATACTTAGGTAGATACCCAGGGGCAGTTACTCGGCCAGGAGGAAAAGGATCTCATCGATAGGTATTTAATGATATTTCCTAGTCGTTAATGCGATACTCAAACTTGGACCATCGTCCACTTAACTTGGTGGACACTTCGTAGGGGCAATTATAATTAGAAAAGGGGCCATCCAGCACGATATATCTCTCCAATCGCAATAATATGCCTCGCTATTACTGTAGCACACTTTCTACTATCTACCAACCAACCCTGTTCTCTATAATATCATCGGCCTCAATGCTAAGAGCTGTCAGAACTGTCAGACTTCTCTACCCAGGTATTCATGTTGACACTGGAGTGTAGATATTGACTAAATAACATGTATCACGCGTGGAGTCTGGGTACAATAGGAGATCCCTGTTATTCGCAGATCGGACACGATATTCCTCAAAAGCAAGAAAGGATGTGTCTTGTCTCATCATTTTAACTTGAGATGCAACTATATCTTTTGCATTACGACATCGTGCCGAACTTGAATGACAGTTTCAGACAAATTTGCGTTAGAATCAAGTTTCTGGCTGTTCCTGTCCGCGCCGATCTCCGTAGTGATAGACGATTCCATCCAGCTGTAGTAGGCCGCCGGCCTTTGAGACGCTATATGAGCACGCGCTGGTGGGGTTGGCGAGATATGCTCGTGACCTGACACGCTTCCCCGATTCTCTCTCATATCCGTGATGCCATCCAAGCCATCTGCGCCGTCACTCGCATGTGCCTCTATATCATCGCGGTAGAAAAGCTTCTCTTTACTCTTCGTATTCAATTGGTTGCTTGCGGTAGAGCTTAAGCGTATATGTCGACTTGCTCTCTGCATAGTGGTTCTACATGCGTCGGAGTGCCTCTTGTAAGTCCCCACTGGCTTGTGAAGGCGGTTCGAGAGGGAAGGTATCCATTTAGAGATAAGGGGTCGCAGTGTAGGCAGGCATGCACAAGTGACACCCGAGCAAAGTTCGACGATAGACCAACTCGATCCCTGTACATTTGCATATGTGAAGTCGCCTCCTAGCTTGAGAAACTTCACACGGACGACAGATATAGCGCAGGTACTGGATCATGGATTAGCTGAACGCTGTCTAATCAATTATCCGTACTGGAACTCACAAGAACCCGAGGCTGAAGATACCTATGAGAACAACGCGTTGGGCTCGAGGCATATGTAAATGCCTCAGTACTGGTAGTGGCAACACGAGGATCACGATATCCGTCATTATATTTCCCGCCGCATTAACTATAGCAGTAGGAGTTAGTAATTTCTCCTCCAAGAAGAGACTATAGAAGTATCATATATGGCTTAAGAGCAGCGGCTTTTCAATCAGCCGCAGGATTGGCTAAAGGGGTGAAAAGGGGGAAGTTTTGGTGTCACGTACTGTACCATTGAGGATAGTGGGAGATACATTTGGAATCGGCCGTTTTCTCCCAAAAGCCATCAATCGGTCGACAGTTAAATATCCCAACAATGACTTGAGAAAGAGACCAGCAACCAATTATGATCATGGCAACAATAAAGGTCCTCCGCATGTTTTTGAGAGAGAACACCCGATAGTATTGCGTCAAGAAACCCAGCTTGACAAAAAGGAGGCCACAGTTGTAGAGTGCGATGGAGACATAGAAACCCTGATTATTGTTAGTACTAAGCATTGCTCAAGGGGGAGAACAAAATAGCGAACCTTCAGATACTTCGTAACCTCGCCAGCGCTATCCAGGTCCCACACATGTTTACCCAGCCCATTGCGCGTATCTATAAGGTATGAAAAGTTGCCGACTTAACATCAGGAGCATTCATCAACTGCTTACTCATACATTGGGAAATCCCAGTGCCTAGGGTGAAGGCCTGAAGATAAGGGGATGGTTAGTATTTGATAAACTAGGTATGGTCATCGTTGACTAACCCAGGCGACAAATATCAGATAGTCATCAACCCCGAGTTGCTTAAGTAAACGCAATCGAGTATAGAAGCGAAGTCCCACCGCAATCGTGGCCACGGTGCAGACGATACATATTACAATGATAAGTGTCTTAGATTTCTCGTCATGAGTTGGTTCTGAAGGGCTTGTGGACGAGTCCATACTGCCAACCCGACATGTGAAAGGAGTCTGCAGCAGGACATAGACCTAGAGATATTGACCTCTACATCTTTGCCGTTCTTATAGGTTTTGGTCGGTTCTCTAAGCATAACGTCACCGGAAGCAGGTGTATACTGACCCGTTTCGGGAGGTGGGATACCTAGCGTGAGGGCCGGACCGTCTCCATCCATATGAAACCCTAACGATCGGAGTTCGGACTATCTCTCTAGATAGGTGGGAAAAAATCAGGTTATAGACGGATGAAGGTTGGAGAGCATCGAGACATGATATTTAATTTCGAGAAGTCTCGCTACCATTCAGCCAACCTGCTTAGCCGGCCAAGTATAGCAGTGCGGGGAGACGAAGCACATGGCAAAGTGCCGCATCACAAACCACGTCGTCACTATACATGAATTATCCGCACGCGTTTCCGAGTCTTAGATAATTCCACACGTCGAATAGGATAACTTCCAAGATATTTAATGCACTCTCCGCACACGTGGCCAGATGCAAATGATCCTGGAAATGCGAACAGCGGTTTATATGAAGGGAATGGTAGGTAATGAGGGAATAAGGCGGCGCTTTTCGAAGCTGGAAACAAGAGGTTTCCATAAACAAGCAGTGAATAACGTCTTGCACAAGCTGAGATACCTACTTGCCTGGTAGGTATCTACTTGTCTACCCCTGTGTGCCTACCTAGGTATTTAAATACGCACACAGATATGTTAACTACCTAGGTAGTATCATCTAGAAAGTCTAAACAATCGGGTTTTGAAGTGACAGTTCTTCAAAACTTGCATTTACGATGAGAAGAAAAGGAGTAAAGATAAAACCCCTCTACCCCTCTACCCCTCTACCCCTCCCCCTATTTGATCGACCGGAGTTAGGTTATACAACCCCGCAATCCTATACTACCTACAAAGGCGGAAGGTGGGAATCGTACCGAGAGGGGTAGACTGGAACCTTTTCGAGTTTAAAAGCGTTTAAAAGACCATCCTCCTCTAATTCTATCTCCTAACTATATTTCCTCTTATACAAATGACATCAAAATTTATGGATAAGTTCTTCTAGACTTACGCGACTTGACTGCATGACTAATCGCTCATTCTCTAAGGTACCTAGGTATATAGCAGAATGTGATAGTGAATCTGATCGTCACTCATTGCCGAACCCGACCGTTAGATCATACTACCTACCACAATGCTTCTCATTTCTAGGTGTCCTACTTGCAGGGACTATTCATACCACATCGTATACTAATTCGTATACTAGTTCCTAATCACTTCTGAAGTGACGAAGAATGATTAGATATATGGAGATACTTAGCTACACATATACGTTCATCGCTTTCGTATTTGATGCAGGCGAATGCAATGTCCTAGCCAATCTTGTAATCTGGGGAATACCCACAGAAGGATCTGCCCGAAGCCCACTAATCTTCAGCGGGTCGGCACGCCTACGGCACGCTAAAGTGGCTGATCCCCGGTTGACTCACGCCGAACAGGTGGGTAATTGGGTCTAGTGGCGCAGCTCAGGATGCAGCCTAGAGTTCCAAATGTCAGGAAGGCAGGAAGAGATGATGAGAGATGTGAATTACTACTTGGTAAATATTTATATTGATACTTCTGAACATAATTACTTACTTCGCTATCCATTCCTAGCTCCCTCGATATATCTCGCCATCTGATTCTACATAGTACCTAGTCAATAACACTCCTTAATTTGCTCTTTTTTTCATTTTCCTAAGCTAAATAGTATTCTTCTAGTGAGCTATGGCTTTACATGATTCCGACGATTCGAGGGTTTCTCTCGACTCTTATGACACGGCGCTGTGTATCATCCCACCAAAACACCTTTGGGCACCTGTAGACCATTTGAGATCGGTCTACGACCCAGCATACAAGACATGGCCGCCACATATCAACCTTGTCTATCCTTTCGTCCCAGTGCATTCCCTCCAGGAAGTTTCGGATTTAATCGTTCACCGGTTACAGAAGGCAAGGTCTTGTTCACCGCATGTGAGCTTCAACCCATCAATGCAGCTACAAACATTAGGCACATTCACCCACAAGAAGAAGGACCATGCAATCTTTTTCAGATGCGACGGAAATCAACAGCGTACGCGCGAGCTCTTACGCCTGAGGGACTTTATTCTAGACACTCTGCAATTGAACCAAGATATACGGGGCCCCTTGCATATGACAGTTGGGCACAGCTACGAAGCAAACGATCATAAGAACAAGGACACCGTCAAAAAGTTCAACCTTTTACCTCCGATTGAATGGACAATTGACAAACTTTACATCCTAATACGGGTTAAGGATAAAGCACGTATCAATGCCGGTCTCTCTAGCCAGATGAGAATTTGGGGGGAGATTGACCTTTCGACCTTAACACTGTTGACGGTGAAGAATCCAATCAGCTTTTACGAGGATGAGGCCGAGGAAGAAGACGAGACGAGTGATCATGCTGCAGATGGCAGACCTACTATTGACTCAAGCGTTCCATTAACTCGTCTTCCATATACTTTCTCCCACGACAACTCCAAATGGATCCAATTAGGGGTCAATTTCACTCCTCGCCAGGCGGAGACAGCCCCGGAATCTTTAGCCGTCGCAAGTTACAACATACACACGGAAATTGGTGACCCCCCAACACGGGATCGATATTCCATTATCTTCGAGAACCTCTTAGAGAAGGAGGCGCTAGCGGACGTATTAGTTCTTGAAGAAGTCACGGATGATTTCCTCTCACAACTTTGCAAGGATAGAAACATTCGAGAAAACTATCTCTTTTTTTCGAGCGGTCCTCCTGATCAAGACGACGTTGAGCCATTACCAGCCCATACTAATGTCGTGGTGCTGAATAAATGGCCATTTTCTTGGGATGCTATATCACTTCCAAGCGGTCAGAGCGGTTCAGTTATTGTCCAATTCAGTACTATCGGAAAGCAATATGATGGAATCTTCCTGCCAGTCGTTCTATCCGCCGTCCACCTTACCTCTGGCCTAACAAACTATTCCATTGAGGAGAAAAAACATGAACTGGCATCTGTCCTCAGTCATATATCCAAAGAACATCGTTGGAATCCTTGGATACTAGCTGGAGATTTCAATATCCCTACTAGTACATACGCTATCGAAACAGCGGTCAGGAGGGAAAACATCTCTCCACATAGCCAGAGTATCTTATTTGAACTTGAAGCGATGCTCATAGATGCAGGCCTAGTGGATACGTATATTTCTTCACGTGTTCAACGTGGCCATCCACCAAATATAAACCGAAAGCAGCATGATATCAACGCTTTAGGGGGTGAAGAGGGCGCTACTGTCGACCCGACAGTGAATGATCTCGCTGCAAATAGCGCTCCCGATGATCTTCAAAAGAGACCTCAGCGCTATGACAGAATCCTGGTCAGAGGTATGGATTTTGCAGTGACGGGCTTCAACATGTTTGGCCAGAGCAAGGGGAGTCTGCAGGCTAGTCCTGGAGCTGATACTAACAGTGATGGCTTCAATGATGACTCCAAGGGACAACTTTCATATGGTAGCGATCACTGGGGAATCCGATGTTCGTTAAGTTGTTATACGGATGTGTTGGGTCAAGTACCTGAAGTCGGAAGGGCTCTTCTGCCAGTGGAAACGGACCCAACCTGGCCCATAGAGGATACATCTGGACTGGCAGCTTGTCTTTCCGACCAACCGGAGTTCCCTTCCGAAATTGACACTGCAATGAGGGAGACTGCTCTGAACTTACTTAAGGAGGTTATAATGCAAGACGAACCTAGTCACACTCGTGGCCTTCCGGCTTTTGTGATAGTGCCCATTGGGTCATACGGACTCGGGGTGTGGACTACAGCCTCAGATATTAACTGTCTCTGTATCGGACCTACCAGTTCAAATATTTTCTTTACCCTGGCTATCCAACGGCTTCGCAAGGCTGCGCCGAGGGGTATCAAGATTCTCCGACGCATAGAAGTTCATTCTGGTACATTGCTCGAGTTAGAGGTAGGGCATATCAAGATGGATTTGCAGTACTGCTCAGCAACTACCATCGCCGAGACATGGCCACGCGCGTTGTCAGTGCCTCCAACCGACACCATCTTCAAATTGCCGCCCAAGGTCCTTGCGAAATTGAAACCGCTGCGTGATCTTTGTCATCTCCAGCGAACAATTCCGGATCTAGCCGTCTTCAAGTTGGCGCACCGGTTTATCAAGTGCTGGGCGAAGCGACGTGGGATTTACGCCGCCAAATTTGGATATCTCGGCGGCATTCAGATATCAGTATTGCTGTCACGCATCTACAAGCTAATATCGTGTCACGGTAGAGCCATATCTGCCCCAACGCTCTTGACGACCTTCTTTACCCACTACGCGGACTTCAACTGGGCGGAACACACGGCTTATGACACGTTCTCCCACAAGACATTAAGATATAGGCGAACCGCACAAGAATCAATGTCGATCCTAGGTTTCTATGGCCCCCATCTGAACACGGCACAGGCCGCATCTGGCCCTACTGTCTATGTCATTTCTCAAGAGTTCAAGAGAGCCCAAGAGCTGTTGTCACATTTTATGACTACGTGGCCGGATTTCCTGGGCGAGGACATAGGCGTGGTGGAATTTTTGATAACGTATAAGATATTTATTAAGATCACTGCTCAGTTCTGGAGCGTGTCTTTAGCGAAGGGCAATAGCTTTGTGGAATGGCTGGGATCAAAATGTGTCTCTCTCCTAGCAGGTGAGTTCATTTTCATTACTGTCCCACTTGGAATTTGACCGTATACTGATGTAAAAACAGATCTCAGCAAGCAAGTACCGCAAGTGAACCCGAGAATCTGGCCAGCACGTTTTATAAATCAGGGCGCTTCCGAAGAGGATACGGACTACGAAGGGCATTATCTCGTCGGCTTAGAAATGAAGAACCCCGAAAGCAAATCGATGAACGAAGAAGATAGGATAGCTGATAGGATGGTTGCTTTGGAGCGCATACGAGCGGCGTTGGATAAATTTCAAAGTCAGGTCGTGAGCGACCCTAAGTATTTCAATCCCAAGTCATGCTGGGTGGGTACAGAAATAGTACCTAGATCCGAGGTTAGGGAACTGCGGCTCGACAATCGAGACTGGACAAGGTATACAGTTGAAGCTGAGGATGACGATATTGGGGATTCGGAATTCTGGGCATCCATGGAAGCAGAAGAGCCGGATGAGCCGCGAACGAAGAAAGACTCGACAGTCAAATTACCGAGCAGGCCAGCATATGAAGGAAAATTTCGGTCGGCTGGTGATGTCCTCAACAGAATACGGTGGGACCAAGGCATGGATAGCAGCGATTATATAATCGGCTATGAAGACCGCTTCTCGGGAGTGATGGAGAGGCCAGTCGATTCGTGGAAGTCGGAGACAACCCATGAGGAATTCATACCGGAGCATCGCGTCCTGTTTTTCAAGCGGAAGAGCGACGGGACAATCGTTTGGGACAAGAAGGAGAGGCGGGACGAGATTTTTGGTAGTGGGGTTACAAGCCTTAGGCACAAACCCAAGGGTTGATCCTACTTAGGTAACCATCGTATGTTTAGTCCTTACCTGGTTTTAGATACCCAGCGTTCGATGATGTAAGTATCACTATTTTCAGCGGCAATCAAAGATCCAACGTACATTGGATGGGTATTCATCGCAAAGATTGCATAAGTTCACAGCTAGTATCACAGTTACATCGTTTGTAGAAGGGGAAAAAAAGAACTTTGTCTCACCGCTTCGATATCGCACATACATATATGGTAAAGTCGGCGCTTATCGAGGTAGCAGCGAGGCAGCGCCAATAGAATGGTAACGCAATCCTTTGAGGTCAGGTGACGGGCGGTTCATGCGCGTTAGGAGAAATGACAAGCTTCAATGCGACGCTTCACGCGCGGTGACTGCGACTCTGTTCCCTGTCGCCACGCCTTAAGTCCCGACCGAATTGTCGACTTTCCCCGATCGAGTAATATTTTTTTTTTTGGGTGACTCCCGTCGCTAACTTGTCTAACGGAGCCCCCGGTGTCGGTGTTGCGATCTTGGGGCGTTTGAAGGAAAAACAGAAAGTCTAGAATCGAGTTCCTATTGGCGTTCTTCGTGCTTCGGGATTGCCGGCGAGGACCACGCGTTGTTATCTTGGCGAAGCGATACGGAGGTCACTGTTGGGTCTTTAGGTAAGTGTGGTTGCGTCCAAAAGGTGATGTTACGTAAGAACTTCGTATGTCTTCGTTTCGAACAGAGGATGTCTCGGGACTCATATTCGTTGGAAGAAGAATCGACTCGGTAGTTGCAATTTACTAGAGTTTGAATAGGGGTATGAATGTACCCAAGTACTCAATAGTTACTCAACAGTCCAGACTCCAGGTTGCTGAGAGGGGCGATATGGAGATGCGGAAGCTAACTTTTATGCCCCTGTTTTATGGACGCAGGGTCCATCTATTATCTGCTAGATTTTGAAATGTGTGTTGTATTTACGAGACTTAAAGATGTGTATCTTATTTTCTAACTACCTCAAATTGTGAGGTGAAGTTCATAAACAAAAGCAAGCCATGGCTGACGCCTTCTCATATATTCCCTCGAGATTTGCTTTTACGTACCAACTGTATTGCTAGTAGATTCCCTTGGTAGTCACATGTAGAGTGAATGCAGAGGAGCAGCGAAGCTGCTGCTAGTATGGGGGAGGGCTTCAAGGTATTTTGATAACGCTACTCTTCTCGCAATCTAAGAGACATCGAGGCGAAGCCTCCTTATATACAACTGCCCACAAGCTGCGAGGCAGCATGTTAGCAGGGCCGTCGCTAAGGTCCTCAGCTCGGGCCTAGCTTAAGCCTCGCTTATCCCCTGATATGTAACTACATAGCAAGCTAGAAGTTAATTTAGATTAGATCAGATGCAATCTCCCGTCGGACACGGAAAGAATTACCCAACATTCTGTTTCCTCGTTTGCAGCAGGTAGGGTTGCATAAAACACGTGTATTACTTTAAAAGAAAGTCAAACTCTAGCAGCAGGCCAAGGAGCGACAAACGAGGTCATTCTTGCAACCTTGACTATCATTTCTAATCCGTCATCCTAATCAAAGTTCCAGATTCGAACTTACCTTACCACCTGACAAACCTGTCCCTGTCGCCTTCGACTGTCCTCCATAGTACGAGTAAGCGACAATGTCCTGGAGATGCCGCAACTGCGACAGACGTTTCGCCTTGTGGAAAGGGCTGTGCCAGCACGCCGACGCCCGGAACCACACGCCTATGCAATTCGACTGTCGCTGCTGCAACACCACCTCACCCAGCGCCGAAGATCGCCGGGCTCACGAGGCGAAGGAGCATAACCACTGCGCCGACTGTAATCGGGGCTTCCAGAACGCGAATAACCTCAGGATGGTGAGAGAAAGAGCACGCCTAGCCTAACCCAGCCTAGCCTAGCCTACCCCCCAACCCTACCTACCTACCCCCAGACCTATCTTTCCCATTACGTATCCGCTTATACCTAAGCCAAACCCAACTAACCCGCACCCTCTTTGCTACAACGCAACAGCACATGCACTCGCGCACGCACCGAGGCGCAGGCCTAAACTGCCCCTTCTGCAAAAAGGGCTTCACGTCGGCGACGGGGCTGGCGCACCACCTGGAAGGGGCGCGGTGTCCGGCCGCCTCGGGCCTCGACCGCGACGCCGTGTACCGCGCCGTGCGGTCCAAGGACCCGGACGGCGTGCTGGCCAAGAAGCTGCTCGGCTGGCACGGGTCGCCCTCCTACGAGGCCGGCCCCAACTCCTGGAACGGAGATGCCTGGGAATGCTACCTGTGCCACCGCGATTTCGTGAGCTTGAAGGGCTTGAATTCGCATTTGAATTCTGTTGCTCGTAAGTGTGATTCCTGTGGAACGAGATGAGATGAGATGAGGTGCTGAGGTTGAGGGATGAATGGGCTTTGGTGAGGAGGCTGACTTAAGTGCCGCGTATACGCAGACCAGCAGGCGTTGTACCATTGTCCGAATCGCAATGCTTGCGGTCGTGACTTCAAGTCTTTGGCTGCCGTTAGTAAGTACCCCCAAAGCCCAGCCTCGTCTTTCCCCCATCTCAGCGACTTGCTTCAACCATACCATTCCTTTACCCCGACATATCTATCCGTTTGCGATACGTTCGTGGGAAGCAAAGTGAATAACCTCCACTGCGACTGCAGTGAACCACCTCGAGAGCGAGAGTTGCGGCTTCTCGCGTTTCGAGGCCGTGCAGAACACCGTGAGCGACATCGTCAGCGGCGATCGACGCCTCACCTTTGGGTAAAAACGGACCGGAACAAGGACGGACAGAGGTGGTGGTCTTAATGCTGAGGATGACTTTTCACTGTAGATTATTGTTGATTAGGTAGGGACAACTGTACCCCTAGGAGCCTGGCGGTTCACCTAGATATCTAAGCTCTGACTATTTGTATCATTACTTCCTATAAAGGCTAACCTGAGGCTCCATTTTTGCCTCGCTCAAGGCTCACTGAAAACCTACATCAGTGAAAACAGCTTAGTTCTAGATCTACAATGGGTACTCTAGCTCGGCTTGGCACGGTAGTTCTTCAAGTGCCGAAGGATGAAGATGAGCTCCATTTTTGACGATCCACCGGGGGCCGTCTCCTATCCAAGTATCACATCACCCGCTCCAAGTCATAGGAATGTATACCTACATTAACGACAGAGCACCCCACCCTGCAATCAAGCTTTCTTCGAGTTTCCCGAATTCCAATATAGGTATCGAAACAGGGTGAGATACGTACATGGGCATTTCTAAAGACGTCTCAGTTAGTTCTCTTCGTTTTACAAGAATCTGACCATTTTCCTCCGTGGATCGTGATAATGCACTTTCATTGCAGTATAAACGGTTTCACTAAGCGGGGTAATTCGCTACTCTCGTACGTCGTCGTATAGCTTACGTGCATAACTCCGAACGTGCACACCAACAGACATAAGCGCCAGGTACACGTACGAGGGTGATGGCGCGGAGGTGATAACCTTATCTAGGTGATCTGTGATCCCTACCTACTATGTAGTACATTCGGAAGCATCGGAATTTTCGGTCCCAAAGTCGTACAGCTTAATCGGGGTGTGTGAGCGTCGCCGAAAATCACGAATGGGGATATCGTGGGGTAATTCCGATGTTGCCAGGGTGCAGTGCAATTACACTCGTAGCACCTGAGTCGGGATGAAGTTAGGAAAAGCAAGACGAGTCAAGGAAGAAAACCAGGAGAAGACCCCCCCGATCCGAAGACTGATCGTTCCTATTTCAAGAGATTTATAGTCTTCATTGCGCTTCAACCTGAGCAAGACCACAGAAGGAAGAAAACACGAGACGTAAGGAATACGTAGAAGTACTGCAATGGCGTTTGAGAGTAAGTTAGCGATTTCCTTTGTCCCCCGATGTATATACCGGTTAGCCGCCCGAATCGAGCGAACCATGGGCGGGCAAAAGGGGGTGGAACCAAACCGGTATCTAATGATTTTGTAACGTGATCAGGGCTCGTCCGGTTTATCCCCCGCCGACAGGTTTCCCGGCCGTTAATCGGGCAACCCGTCGATCGGCTTATCGACGTCGGCAAAGCCGTCTACGAAGGCAAGGCCGTAGAGGTACGAGCTTTCAGCGGAACCTCGGTCTTGAGCCCCGGGTCGCCGACAGACCAGATAGAAACCATCGACCGTATCCTGTCGCCGCTAGCTAGAGAAGAGGTCGGGACCATCCGATGCATCGGTCTGAATGTGAGTCTCTCGCTATCACAGGACATATCGTGAGACCAAGGAGGAAATCGACGGCTGATGAAAGTTTAGTATGCAAACCACGCTAAAGAGGCAAATGGTAAGTAAACGCTATACTGTTATCTCCGTTCTCAGGTCCTGAACCTAGACGAACACGGCCGCGTCGATAGACAGCCCTCGGTTCCGAGGCGTCGTGTCGCCTTTCCTAGCATATCGATGAGCAAACAGCTACTAACCCGAAACGTCTACTCAGTCGAGATTCCTAAGATACCTATGATGTTCATGTAAGATTCGGCATTCTAAACACTAACGCACGATGCACGTCGACGGCAGCTAAGGCAGTGTCTGACATGCATTGCATCAGGAAGCCCGCTACGGCGCTAGCGGATCCCTGGCCGGCTCCCACCATCATCCCGAAGCACACTCTGAAGGATGACTGCGCGGACTACGAAGCCGAGCTGGCCATCGTGATCGGGAAGGCCTGCAAGAACGTGAGCGAGGCAGAGGCCCTGGACTATGTCTTAGGCTACACAGCTGCCAACGACGTGTCAAGCAGGGCCTCACAAATTGCCCAGTCCCAGGCCTGTTACTCGAAGGGGTTTGATGGGTCCTGTCCCCTTGGCCCCGTCCTCGTGTCCGCGGCGGTCATGCCCGATCCTAGTGCCTTCACTATCTGCGGGTTGAAGAACGGAGAGGTGATGCAGAATTCCGCTTTAAGGTAAGCCGCTGGAGAAGGCAAACTCCCCAAAAAGGAAAATATGCTAGCGTTGCGATGTAATAAGCTCTTGCATGGAGAAAGAGGGTGCGTTGGCTGACATGATTGCGCAGTGACATGATCTTCGACTGCGCGAAGCTTGTGAGCTTCCTATCCGAGGGCACCACGCTTCCTCCGGGAACAGTCATCCTCACTGGGACGCCGGCCGGTGTAGGTTTCGGGAAGAAACCTCCAGCTTATCTCAAGGACAAGGACGAGTACGTGGTTGAATTGCTCCCGCATGTTGGGAGCCTCTACTCGGCATTCCAGGCCGAGAAATAGCGGTCTAGATGTCGGCTACCATTCAGATTACGGGAGCAGGGATGAGTTGGGAAGAAAAATGTCCGCATCACGATATTGTTAGGCGATGAGGTCTATGCAAAGAATAGACACAGAGCGCAGAAAATGTTGCCCGACTGAAGTAAGGGTGGGCCGCGAAATGCCATAGGCGCTCATCGGGATTTTCGATGCATTTCGGGCTTCACCGGATTTGCTTCAGCCTCGCGAGGCAAAGCAAAAACTCTCCGAATACGGAGCCGCGTCAGAGCTGAAAACAGCAGTTCGTAATTTAAATAAATGTTCCGTTCTGTGCCGCATAAATTTTTGCTTGCCGATATTCGGCAGTCGCATATGGTGCTCAGTCGCGTGCGCTGAAAAGGCTCTCTGACTGGCTCGAGCTCGTTCGACGTCCGCGAACCGTAGGCTTATTTGCGTAGCATTACTAAGATTTAACGTCGAATCTGAGTCTGACAGGGTTCATATGCAATGGAACGTCCGGAAGAGCGGATTTGACTTGCCGGATGCAAAGAGAACCGCGAAGTCGCAAAACGACATTGACTTCGAGAAGGGTCAAAGAGCGGCATCCATCAACTCGGTCTTAGCCAAGCATCACGATCCACACACCACCATGAGGGATATATATTGGTTGATACCCCAATGCAGAGTCACCTTCGTGCCCTTACGTCCTGCATGACACCCTTAAGTCACCGGCCAGTCTAATGAATCGGTCCCTTGACGTCGTGCAACAGAAACAGATCGTTGACGATTGGCCGAGCGCAACTGTTCTGGAATATGCGGAAATTATGGTTGATATCCCAATGGCCAGGAGATTTTCATTGAGCTAAATGAGACAGACCTTTATTTCATCTTCATTATCCTATTTCTCCTTTTCGTAGATACTCGTATGATTCGATCGCCAAGGGCGCTGAGATGCCCATCTCCTGAGATTGTAGACGAGCGGAACAATTTAGGAAGGCGGACGCGTACGATCTGATACCCAGAGTGGATGTAAATCTGTGACATGGCGTGTCTGCAAAGCCTAACTAAAAAAGACGGCTACGGTAGGGCCAGCCAGTGCGAATTGAGAATTTGTTTAGAAGCCGCATTAGCTGCGAGGCCAGATTGCTGAAAGGTAGGTCAGGCGGGGTTTTCTGAAAGTTGAAAGGCCTCTGTCCATTCATCGACGGGGGAATTCGGAAATAGATGGGGGATCGTCGCCAGCTTCAACTTTGACTGCGCAAGGCGTCGAAACTCGATGTTTGCTTAGTTCTCATGACAGTTTATTAGTGCCACAACCAAAGATTGTGCCTATCAGAGGCGGACACGCAATTAGGATGCCCAAGGTCATTCTCCGTGATATCTTTTAGCCTCATGTTTCCATCTAAGTGACGTAAGGCCTTGCCATAGAGAGGGTTTGAAATTAATTAGACTGTATTGCGTGATGCCATGCTCAACTCAGTCTGCCTCGTTAGACGGGGTCTGAATTGGTTGTCGAGATGTAATTCCTGAAGCGCCGGCCATCACGGCCTAGGATATAGGACAAAATGGCCGTAGTCGATCGGGATTGGACAAGTCGTTAAGAGTGACAAGGGCTTGAAGATTTTTCTGCATTTGTTTTTTTAGAGACCCCTGGCCTGTAAGTACAGACGGTTCTACCCGCGATAAACCGTTGTGGAGCTGAAGCACGTTTTCGCCAATTTGAACAATTCCGATAATTCGACCGTGATAGCGGTCTTTCGATGATGATGTCACAGGCCTGTAGATGTCCATGGAGGGGAAGTTGTTAGCGCCGAATACCTCCTTGGCATCGTGGGATGAATTAATAGGTGCTATAGGTAGGGGAGAAGGAGACGGGGCCGAGGATTCTAGAATGCCGGATTTGGGTTAGGAAAAGGGATGCCGTTACACTCGAAGTCGTTCTCTAATATCCTATATCCTAGCCCATATTCGAGCCGTTACTTGACGAGGGCCAATGGTTTGGAATTATGTAGGACAAACGTAGGCGAGTTCCTTTAAGGACATTCGTAAGACAGATACAAGATCGTTCGTGGCATGGCCGATCTTTCCGAGGGAACTCGTTTCATGCCTCGTGGATGCCACCCTCCGCTATTGACTACGTCCAAGAACCAGAGTCAAACTTTAAGAGAAAGAGGCTGTTACGAGCCTTTTATACTCGATATATTCGCCAGAGATCAAGTGGCGAGCACCTGTGTTGGCATGGGAGTAACCGCTCTACCTGTCTAGTATTTAGGCGTGTATTGTGGTGTCAAGGATCCAGCTTAGAGCCCAAAACTTGGTGATAATTCAAACTTGACGCTTAGGGCGTCTAACTGCAAATGCAATAGATGTCCAGATAGGCAGCAAACCAGCAGGATTTTTCAGGATTCAATCAAGCGTCGAGATTGGTCGGGACCGAGCCTCATGCGATTGATATTAATTGCCCTTCTCCTGTAGATAGATGGTAGAAGAGAAAATTTTGCCATTGGACATGATGGTTGAATTGTCAACCATGCAGCCTGTCTCGGTAATCTCGGTAGCAGTCAAAATTGACTTGCCTACCTAGGCAGATAGGCTCTCGAGTTTTTTTTCCTTTGACTGAACTTCTTAGAAGCCCGATGCGCATGATGTGGTGTCGATCCGGGAGCAGACAGGTTGGGCCGACGAAGCACGATGCCTCACAACCTGCACAGCCGCAAAACCGGACCTATAGTGATGGGCTGACACGTACTTCTGCGTCGATAGAATATCCTAGGGATGCCGGATTCATACGACGATCCCACGATCCCACGAGCTTAGGACTATAATAGGCCTTCAGTTCTTCCGGATGCATCTTACGCCAATGCGGTAAGCAAGATATTAAAAGGATTACATAATTTAATATACCAATGGCACGACAAGGCCAGGATTGCTGAGAAATAAGACGGTAATATTAGCCAGTGAAGGCCATCGTTCGAGCGACGGCACGGCGGCGGCGGCACCACCTAATGTAGATTGATCGACGTAGAATTACATGCATTCCCATGCACATCGTGCAGGTATATGTAAGTGTGACGTTGGCAAAAACGTGGAGAGGCAGATAGACGATATCGAAATCTGCAATCAAGGTCATCAATGGCGTTATTTTTCAAGAAAGGATTGCAGTAGGAGCCGGAGGACTGTCGGTGAATGTATAATATATAGGATATAGTAATACCTAGTAGATGATAATAAAAATATGGATTACCTACTACCTAGTAGTAGGTAGTAGAGATAATAATACCAGGTATGCATCTAAATAAGATGGGGAACCACGAGGTTTTAAGTTTTATGCTATAATGGGTGTTATCCTAGTATGCGGTGCCTAGGCTAGTACCATACCTCTGGTACCTATAGCATCCTAGTTCTCCTAAGCAATTGTATCATTGCGCCTTCCCCCAGCACAGATATGACCCGATCCGGCGGGCTGAGTCTGAGGCGCGGGGTGCCCCCAGGCAGTGCTCTCCAAGATTTTGGCTGGGGACTACAGATGTGAATGTACTATGTATCGAATATACATACACCTAACAGGATAGGTATTATCAAGTGCGCGCTAGTGATTCGATGTTATCTTTCTAGGGTATACAAGGCAACAATGCAGTGTAATAGTGTAATAGTGTAATTGTAATAGGGAAGGAACACGACGTTCTATTCTCTATGCCTTATCTACATAGACTGTTACCACACATACGCACTCTATATATATGTCATACTCATTCTTGTGTGTGATCTTCACACCCGTGGTTTATACGCCATCTTACGAGTTCTGTGCGATGTTTGATGCTAGAGTACTTACACACAGACCCAGGGCCACTGCAGAATCCGATCACATGTAATCGGGACCACTTCGAGGACGTCGCGTCGTCGATAACGAATCTGAACTGGAAATCATGATCAGCGCACCCCCTCACGTTTTGTAATTCAGGCATTCTCGGCGTCCCTTTGCACGAACTCGTCGTTATTCTCGTTCACCGCCTAGGTGATGACGCCGTTACTGATCAGTCTCCTGATTTCGTCAGGTCGGTTAAAGCCCGCTGATTGGAGCTTTGCTCCATTGCCAAAGCGCTAAACCGGGACGATGCCCATCATAGCGCCACGGCAGTAGATGTCCTAGGTTCTAGCCGGAGAAGGGGGCGGTTTCGGGTCGCCGGCTACATTCATACTCTCATCCTCCCATCATCCATCATCCATGCTTACGTACATGGCTTAGTTTAGGATCAGTAGGTACTCGCGGCGACGAGGGCTGGACCTCTGCATATGCAGCAAGGCGAGAAGTTGGAGATGTTGCTTACGCCTAGGTAATGCTGGCAATGCTTTTTTTCTTACCCTCTGCTCTTCAGCCAAACCATTACTTCTGCTTCGAGGCAGCCTCTCTCCCGATTAGAGTGCGGGCTAGCCTATTACGTGCGAACGCATTACCTGTTTAGGGGCGCTATCGCGACTTTCCAGATGCGGAGAAGGGGGGTGAATAACCCGTTTTGCCCATTCGGACAAGACAAGGAGTTGATTGGATGCCGCCGAGATGGGATTCGAGCACCATTACATGCTTCCTGCGGTAGTTTGTGTGTACATATGATCATCGTCACCGTTGCGCCGTAGCAAACGAACGTGTCTGGATGATTAGCTATTAGCCAGGGCATCTCCCATCAGATTCGGAGCGCCATTCTTGTATGTAGCTATAGCGAGTCGCATCCGACGGTGCAGAGGTTCATCCCCGCTTACTATGTGTCCTTACTATCCCCTAACGCTCCGAACAATGTGGGTATACGAAGGGTTGGCGTAGCAAAGCAGATGGAACGGCACGAAGGAATACAACGTTGACTTTGGCAACGAGACTAACCTAGCAGCTATCACAATCGCGATCCCCTGGCCTCGTCGATTGTGGGTATTTGCCAACCCCGTCATTCTCCTCTTCGCACGAAAAGGCCGGAAGAGATCAAAACTCTGAATCCACTTTCGCGTCGATCCTCAGGACAAACAGACAAGCTTGACAAGCTTGATAAGCTTGATCGGCAACATCACCTATCGTATGCAACGCTGAAACAACGCCCGCTATCAAATGACAGTCGCACGGCGGCCAGGAGGCGCCTGCTGGGTAACCGTCCAAGGGTCCCGGGCTTGCCCAAGGTAACAAACGATGGTGCGCGCGAATGCCGATGGTACCGAGGCCAAGCCACTTACCAGACCAGCCCGGGGACAGAGGTGCGATTGACGTAGATACTCCAAGGTAGGGCTTACCATCATCTGCAGTAGAGCGGCACCAATGACCCCAAACTCGGTTTCGCTACCCACGTGCTCTGCTCACCTCGCATCTTCAACCTAGTGAGATTGCGGAATCCTTACGAAGCGCACGGGATAAGATAAGCGTGAGGTGCCATACCGAACTTCGGACGCGTCGGCCCGCATTCGATAGTCCTTGACGCTGGGCTGGCTGGGGCGGAGGGTCTAAGGGTCATGAATTGAAACTGCTAGTAACGTGAGGATCGTGGTAGTGGGCGATATTATACTCTCGACAATCAATATGCCGAGATGACGTCCCTTCCGGCGGGGGTGATGTCAGATACCTACTAGGAAATCGGTGAACTCTTTCTGTTCGACAAAACGAGGGGCATCGAGGGGCAATCGAGTCGAGGCTCCACGATGTTCCATGGCCTGTGTGGCCTGTGGTCTGTGATTGTGACTCAGGAACAGCTGGCTCCTCCTAATGGCCGCTTACTGCCAGCTTGTATGCAAACAGCAAATCACTTAACTAATCAATCGCCAAGTGCAACTTCTCGGGGTTGCCTTGTGGCCGTCTCTACGGCGTCCAATTGGTCGCACGCTCATGCTGAGCCCACAGGTACAGGCAAGATACCAAATAGAAACTCAGCTAACTAGGATCTGGTGCGAGACCTTGCAGATTATCATGTCAAGAATCCAGCACTTCGAGCCATGGAGATGCAAAAAGGAAAAAGGAGACATATTTACACGAAAGGGCTTATCTCACTTATGACCTGTATACTTCGCCAACCGTCACGAAGGGTCTGACTTTCTCAGCAACTAACGCCAAGAGTAATAACCCTATGCATGCAGTCATCCCTTCAGTGTAGCATACGCCTCTCTATTTGGAAACTGTATACCTGCCTGTAATAACGAGGCATGCTGATAGTGGCTCTCTCCAGTCCGAGATCGTACCGTTCAATGTCTCGTGGGTTAACTTCGGGATGCGGTATCTGTCGTATGAGACATACAGGCTATAGGTGTTGAAGCTAAGAATAGAATCGTGAATGTACTTAAGTCCACATCCCTTGGCGTTATCGACCGGTTCCGTAGAGCTGGGCTAGGCTTCGAGCTAGACCCTACCTGCTGCGAGCTTTTGCTCGTATCGGTATTCGAATTTTCACTGCGCTGGAGCGTCATGCATAATCTTCTCAGACCCTCGTTTTCTTTTCTCTTCGCCGGTTTCCATAGCTTCGCTTCGCTTCCTTTCTTTCCTTTTACGTGCACAGAAAATGCCTTCGGCGCTCGCCTCCGTGGGTTCTGGTACCAAGCCCTCATTTCCCCCTCTGCCCAATCCCCTCACGAACTGGATCGGACGGGCATATTGATAAGGTACCTTGCAGGAAATAAGGCTACAATTAGAGGTGCACCATGTAATTGACATGTCAGTCCATGACTTAGCTCTGCAAGTCTTTCACCTTAGGTACAGCAGCTAGCAACTACCTCTTAGGGTATCACACCCATGGTTACGTGAACAGGCGTGTAAGAGCGTGTAAGAGCCGCATCGGGTTAGTCGTCACTGGTTCGTTAATCGTGTCGAGGGCACTATCCGGTCTGTTCGACGATAGGTACACAACCCCGATAAGTTGATGGACATTTCTATATTGAGGATGCCGACTTGGCCAATGGACGATCCTCGCAGAGATGGGCCATCAAGGTAGTAAGGTAGCGATGTATCGAGGTGAAAGAAGTAACAATGCTCGTACCAAGGTCGGGATTTACGTGCTGCGATACTTCGTACATAGCGATCTGTTTGCGGCACAAAGTGCATCTGAGCAGTCAGCAAAAATAAAAAAAAATCCCGTTCCCTAAGAATAATCCCCAATGCCTCGTGACCCTAAATCATGCCACACCGCTGGATGCAACGGTATCTAGGTACCCATATTCATATCCCTCTTGGCCCTAATATTCTTTATTTTTGTTCATTTTTAATATTTTTATTTTTTGTTTTTGTTTGACCCCCCCCCCCCCCCTTTTTTTTCGTCTCTACTACTTCCCCTCTTTTAGTGAGGTTATGCAAAACCCACATATGTGATCTTGACGAGATTGGGCAGCTTTTTTTTTATTTATTTTTTTATTTTAGTTTTTGTTTTCTGTTAGCCTCTAATTTATCGATTATTGTATTTTTTTTAGCTCCCTTTTTTTCTTTTTCTTTTCTCCTTTTCCTTCTTCGTAGATTCCCCCCCTACCCCTGGCCCTAACCCCCGGTCCCTGTGCCTTGACAGTTGAGTGGATGGCCTTGTCATTGTCTTCCATCATCGAAGGGTGAAAAACTGTTCGACCACCTTAGCTAGGCGTCCATGACAGGCACATATATAAAGTTGGTCCCATCCCAACTTGAATAACCCACCCATCCTAAGGAGATCAACAGTCTCACGGGCTCTAACTAAATACTTAAAGGGCTGCTTTCCCGCTCTCTATCATACTCTTGATATATCCACTTAGTTAAACCAAACTCAAGAAGACTTAAGACAACTTACTATTACCTTGTTACTACTTCGCAACTCTTGACTCAACTCTCATCAACACTTCATACCCATACTCATACTCAGTAGAACTCGTCTGCATAAACGAGACGCGGCTCATTGATTAAGAGTCAAGACACACATACCGTCATAAACCAAGACAACTCAACCTAAGCCCCTTTCGGCCTCCTGTCCGTCACCATGTGCGTCAAGGAGGATCAACCTCTCGTCGACCAGTGCTGCACGTTCTGCTGCAAGGCAGTCGACTTTGGCACCCATGACTACTGCGGTAACAACTACGCCTGCCCGCGGTGTCCCGATTAAGAGCCCCTTTCCCATCCTCTCGGAACGCAGCAAGCCACTGGGGAGCCGCCGCGAACACCGTCTGGCTGGTTACCCTTCGGCTACTGTTTCTCCCGGTTCAACACAACTAAGACATCACATCTCTCTCCTCTTCTCCATCTCTTCCCCACAATAACGACGACGACGACAACGACGACAACGAGACGACATCATCACCGAGGGCCCCTTCTCACTATTGTGTTGTTTTTATCTTTCCTTTTATATAAACTTCGGCGCCACTCCTTTAGCTGTGTAGATCCGGCGGAGAAGGGAAGAAAAGAAAGAGATCCGCCCCCCCCGCGAAGGATAAGAAAAAGGCCGAAACAAACGACAGGCAAATCCCGGCAACCCGTTTTCCATCCTTATATAGGTTATATACCGGCGGCGGCGCGCCAAAAACGCACCTCTGTCACGTACTGACTCATCATCCGCTCTACTGTCATTACAGAGTTAACCTACCCGGCGAACTATGGCCTTGGTTCGCCCACCCCGCATGCAAGGCTGACGACGGGCGGGTCGCGGCGTTGCTATGTAGTTGAAGTGTGCGTTGCGCGCGCGCCCGTTTGTGTGTGCGTGCGTGCGCGTGTGTGACAACCTTGCTTCAGGGAAAAATACCGTACCTCTTCAAGGATCGTGGTCCGTCATCCATGGATTGCGGCCGGGGGGTGTTGGTTGCCAGAGAGAGAGAGAGAGAGCCTGCGTTGGTTGTATCACGTACGCTGCAGCATGCAAACTGCACTGCAACTCCTCGTTACCACACGTTCGCTTCCCCTCCTCTCGACTTCGCTCGCTCGCCCGCGCAGCAGCTAGTTTTATTTCGTTATATGGCTCTCACCTTTTCGAAGCTATCAAATCAGACCCAAGATGTACCCTGATAAACCTACCTACTACCTACCTACACAAAAACCACACCCTCCTGTACCACTTTCATTGCATAGCCATGCGCTCGCGTTGGTTGCACTTGGTTTATTGCTTTTTTTTTTCCTGCTCATTTATTTATCATTTTTTTTATCTCTATTTTCTTACGCACCCTTCTTTGACGTTAGCTTGGGACGGGACCCCTGGGATGCGAACTGGAGTTCATATGGGGCAGCGCCTTTTTGCAAGGATTACGGTGTAGCTGGTACACTACTTGTTTTTATGTGACATTTTGGGCGCTGCGAAGAGCAAGGAACTTTGAACATCATATTGGGGCGCTCTGGATCTACGGTTGCTTCTTTTTATTTACTCGCTTTTCTATTTTCCTTCTTTTTTTTCCCCATCCAGGTACAGCGTAACTTGCAGCTTTTCTTTGGACGGCATGGTATTTTTGTTTTCGTTTCCCCCCACATCATCTTTCCTCCTCTTCAACACGTCCTCGGAATAGCTGGTACTAGAGGATAAACTCCACATGCCTTGTTATAGCGCGGGACGGGCCCGCAGCGACGGCGGGATTTCCCTTTGCTACTATCGGTACGTTCCTTGGTTGGGATCGTGGTAACATATACCCCTAGCCGGATAAGCGAGGTAAATCATACAGACGACCGCGAGCTAGGAAGCCTCTAAGGGGAGAGAGAGAGGGGCGCCCGGAGCCTTGTTTGGGAACCCTAGGGCGTTAAGCATGGTTTGGGTGCATGTCGGCGGAAGAATTAGACGGACGCCAAGGGGGAAGAAAGCGAAGTACCACGCCCACCGGAGCGTTCAGCTAAACAATGGTGACATGGGAAAGTTTCTACGAAGGGAAATTGATTTGTTCTTTTCGGAGGGGGGAAGATGGGCATTGCTGGGAACATGTGATTTCCATCTATTTGTTTTCTGATATTCGATACCTTGTCACGCGGGCAGTCTGGGATGATTTGTGCTTACTCTCGATGATACCAAAGACATGTTATGAGACCCGAATCAATCAATGAATGCATAAATCATGATACACTCTATGATACCCCAGAAATCCCATATCCCGCTTGTCTTTGCCATTGTTACTACTACTCCTCTGTGACCCACTCCCCGCTGCGATCCAAGCACCTATAATCCCGGTTCGCTTGCATATCAAATAGTCTCACCCGCCAAATATAGTGGCTAACGGCCCCCATTGACCATCGGCGCCGTAGCATCTTCGGTTCATTCGGCCACCGTAAGGCAACGGCAGAGGCGGACAGAATACTGTCGGGGTCCCTGGGACCGACTGTAGGTAAATCATGATGTCGATGCTGATTACTTCTAAGATCGGGTTCTGAGTCTGACATGCGTCTCGAATTTAGTCGATGACTCCTACTTTCGATCCTGTTCACGGGTTACCGTATACGTGCATGTGTAACGTGCTTACGCCGCATCTTAACAAGGCCACAGCTAAGCAGGTTAGTTGCCCAGGTAGTTGTCGGGCGAAATTGCCCAGTACCGCATTGTGCTTCCCTCTTTGGGATATATGTTTCGCGGTATTATACGGATTACGAGATGTATTGTCTCGTCGTGGCATGGTATAATGGGCGAGCGTAGGCCACGTAGCTCCTCTTACGTCTAATGGCGATTCTACGTACATCATCACCATGTACATGAGCTATTAACCCATGAACCGGGATGGATCATGGGAGCAGTCAAAGCTACATCAACTACTCATCGCCGTCCTTGCCTCTTCCCTCGGCACAATGACACAGAAATATGTCGAAGGCTGCGCGGACGAAGACAGGGGTGTCTACAACAGCGTCGGTAGAGGGACGAAAACAGACGAGACTGAACCCAAATGCCATGTAGCTCCGTCAATCCCGGGGAATAAGTGAGCAACATCGATAGGGTGCCCTGCTGGCCCCCCCTTTCCCGCCACTCACTGGGCGAACCCGTCACCCATCCACGACCGAGATCCAATCAACCCGAGCACGGAAGAACGAGCCCGCCTCGATCGATTTTAGGGTCGGTGGGGAGATATCGAATCATCGATGTGCATTCTGATATCTGATATAGTCTTTTACTCAATGGTGATGAAACCCCAGCGGAAGCCATTGTCATCCAACGAGCTTTTGGGACGAGCCTACCTACATACGGTAAGGCGAGTAGGGAGAAGGCATGCCGCGTGTTCTTCGTTATCATGGAAGCTTCGGATTCGACTGCTCTCCTCTCACAGATATGCCTCCCCCTATTAACGTCGATATTATCGCAAGGTTCCCTCCTTCCGGGGAAGGATTGGCCGGCCGACGTATGAATGGCCTTACACATACATACATACGCCCGTCCATTAGTAGGTACCTACATGGCGCGAATAGATTCCAACCAAACCGCGTCCGCATCATCTAAGAGGAAAATAAGCAAGCGGGCTTCGAGAAGCGCTCCGCCAGCCTGCAGCGATTAGGTAGTCCCAGCCCTGTAGGAAGGGCGCTAGCAGGCGCTCTGCAGTATGCATGGCAGCGAAGCAGCAGACTTGGCGATGTCGCGTTGGAAGGGGGCAAAGGTCTTGTTGAGCTCAGTGGAGCACAGACGGACAGGGTGTGTGGTCAATGCAGCGTGAATCGTTCCTGTCCTGTCCGGTCCTGCATGGCGGGTTGCAGGAGAACATAATTTAGATCGTCTCTTATTCGCCGCAGCTGCTTTTTGTTCCTAGCTACCAGCGAACTGGCTGCAAGACCTACTAGTAGGCCACAGCCGGCCGAGCGAACTAGACTCTTGGGGAATGGGATTGACAGTCTGTGCTCCTATACTATCTCTGCCCGCCTTCTGTCCGTGCAACAGACGGCAAGAACAGGCACAATACGCATATAAATGCGCGTACGTAGGTTGTAGCCAACCAGTTACCAGGAAAAGTCGGCCGGGGTAGCAGCTGGCTAGCTAGCGCGCAGCGGTCTCGTCAGTTCTCCCAAGTCGGAGGAATCGACGGATCTTGTGGAGCCATATAGGAGTCGAATTGGGCATCGCTGCGCTGCGCTGTGCTGTCGCCTGCTGCTGTGTAACGAGTAAATCATCCAGGGTGTGGTAGAACTGAGTGGCCGTGAGCTATTAGCCAGATTTACGTGCGTGGGTTATGTGGCATACCTAGGTCAAGATCGCGGAGGACCTCGAAAACGACGGATGCTTTAAACACAATACCTAAACCGGTATACCCTAGAAAGAGGGGTACATTTCCAGGTTATTCAAGCACGCACGGAGGGTCTGGGGCCAGAGCCACATTGCTACTTGGTGGTCCACTTGACTAGGAAGTGACCGTCGGATACAGCAATGGAGGGAATTAATCAATAATACCAAGGTGAGCCCGACCTCGTTGGATCCCTTGGATGCCATCTGGTGGGAATGGACCGGACGCAGCGCGCGAATCGTGACGGTTTCTGGCGGTCGCCGCTGCTCCCTTGCACATCAACTCCAGAGCTAGACCCGAAATTCACCGACCTCACCTTGAGGGGCCAAGACCCGGGCCCTGCCAGGAAAGCATCGACTCCTGCCTGCAGGTCGACCGAGTAGGGAAGGAATTACTTAAGCAGCAATGCCAAGCGATAGCAGCGCAGATAGCCCCAGGCCCACAGGTGTTCCCATGGTTTGGAATCTGTGGTGAAGGAGTCTCCGCTGAAAGGGCGTTACTTTGGGGACGGGTTTCCCCATGACCTTGGTGTTCCCTCGATCGTCGATGCAGGCACGTATCTTTTTTGTCTAGCCCAGCAGCAATTAGTCACATATCACATTTCGATATCTCATCTCCTCTGGGGATCCGGCCTAGTGGAGCTGCTCCCCACGACAGCAGAACCGTCTTACGTCGGATACAGCTCATCAGACCACTCTCGATATAAGGATACTTTTGAATACTGTATGACCGTGTCCGGCAGATGATCCTCCATGTAACATTACTCTCCCAAACTCCAGGGTGGGCCGAAAGGGTATACGGTATACTTCTAAACAAAAAGAGAAGAAAAGAAAAAAACAGGAGGTCGCCCGTCGCTGCATGCATGCATTTCCAAATCTTTGGTACCATGACGGAAAGCTTCGTTGGTGCATCCTTCCTCGATTCAGTCACCTTGGCCTTGTGACCCCCACTCCCATCCAAGCTTCACTTTCAGGTTTTAGCTGCCGTACTCGTGAAGCGTGTCCGGAAATAAATAGATATTAACTTACAACTCCAATCCTGGGCTATATTGTAGCATACGCCACGAAATCGTCTGATGATCGCCACATACGAGGCTTTCGCAGGATTCGTCTGGGAAATTTTCGCGACGCTCAAATGATTTAGGGTTCTAACAGTCGCAGTCGTCGGCAGATGTCTCGGTACCACTTTAGGTACCTCTTTAGTAGAGGCTGAGGAAGACGGCGGCGATCGAAGACTTGTCGTACTTGGCGTACTTGCCCTTGCCTTTGTCTATCTCGTGGTAACGGTCCCAGAAGCGATTGTAAAGAGGTTCTAGCATCTGCTGCACGTCCTTCGCGAACATCTGCCTCACTTCTTTTTCCATACTGAACGTCTTATGCCGAGCCACTAGTTCATCAAAAGATGCATTGAAAAGTTGGAACTTGGACTTGATATTGTCCTTGTCCTTGCTGCTCAGTCCTTTCAGGATCGACGTGGATTCGGATGAACCCGAAGCGGGCCGCTGGGACCGATTTGTGTGGATCGTGTCTAAAAGATGCATTGATACATCCCTAGACGCGTCAGAGTAGTAGGACTTCGCCTTTTTGCGCCAAACTTCCAAATTGCTGAGCCTACCCTCTAAGAGCGGCTTTAGATCGGAATCCCGCACCATACGTTCGACGATGGTTACGCTGTTGGCCAAAAAGACACCCCAGACCGACTTCCCTTTCAGTAACACCCTCGCCTTCTGCTCGAGCGCCGACATCAACACATCTATCGTATCGGTGCAATAATGCGCGAAGATCTCCTTCCCGTCAGCGCCGATGTCGAACGATGCCAAACTAGGTATCCCGTCCATGCTAGTATTCGCCGCTGCGCCCGACTTCCACCCACCGTCGCCTAGTGATATCATAATGCTGGATATTGGCCTGAGGAAGTCAACCATGGTTTGCAAGCGTTGCATCGTCTCAGAGATCACAGGGACCGGCGAGCCATCGGCTGGTAGAGCTTGCATTACCCCCACCTTTCGCTTGGTGTCCTCGAGCAGCTCGGCAAGTGAAGACTTGCCCGTCTCACGCACCGGTTTCAATGCCGCGGCCAAGGTAGCTTTGAGTTCGCCCGTGCGTTCCTCGATATTGTTGGACAGATTGGACATAATCTCAATGACCTCGTATGCGAGGTAACAGTCTGTGTTGAGATGGGCCTTGATGTGATTGTTTAGTTCTCGGATTGTTCTCGCCAATTCAGCCAGCGGGGCCTGACAGGTCATTTGAAAAGCCGGCCCCCAGTCCTGTCGCATAAAAATGTTGCAGATGTTGTCGTATTCGGCAACAAATAAGCCTTCCATCGCTTGGGCGTACATACCAATCCCATTGGTGCCGGCCCGGTAGATAGCATCGGGACTCTTCTTCTTGGCGGTGTTGACGCTCGCATATGCAAGGTTTATGAGAGTTTGTGATAGATATTGCGCCCTCACATCGGCATAGATTTTTATTAGTGGGTTTTCGGACAATGAGTTACCGGATACGTAAGAATTCATAAGACTTAAGCGCGAGATCTTGTCTTGGGACAAGAGGGGGAATGGTGTATTTTTAGTCGTGTACTGCAGCGGCTCAATCGAGCGCGGCGTCTCCCCCCGCAGCATCTTGTCGAACGAATTTTCCAGTTGGGTATTGCCGGATTTGATCAAACGTTGGAGATCGGCCATTGTCTGTTGATTCGCACGGAGATTCGAGCTCCTCATGTTTTCTAGTGCCTTATTCAACCTCTTGATCGAGTTTAGGTAGTTGGATAACCCGGCCTTTTCGGGGCCCTGGCGGATGATGGCTTCCTCATCGTTCTTCGAATCAGCGGGCTGGCGAAGTCGCTCTATAGCTGCGACGACTGCTTCGATGTCTGGGGAAAGATCGAGAAATCAGTACGAGGTAATATCCCGTAGGATAGTAAGGGATGACGGGGGAGTAAACTGACTATTCCCTAAGACCTGCAGTCTCTTAGTCTCGCCAGTAAGGGGACCTGATACATCGCGAACGCTCTTCCCAGTAGCTTCTAATCTTCCTAGGCATGCTTGGATCTTCTTGGTCAATTGAGTGGTTTTCTCTAGTCGCGAGTTAAGCACGTCGACCTCAGCACGAGCTTCCTCGTCGGCGGCATGGCGGCCGTTGGAAAGTCCCACTGCCATGGTTCTGTTCCTATTTCCCACTTCCTACTTTGCTTCCTACTGTGCCAGTAGTAATGCAAACCCCAGCTCCGAAATAGAAAGCGAAAACAGCAAATGGGAGCTCGAATTCGGTATCGTCGTCGTAGTCCGTCGGATAATGATGTTGAGTTTAGGTTTACGACTTCTGGGGACTGTCGCCGCATGAATTAGGAGTAGTAGTGACTTCCGTCAGTATGACTGAATTGGGGGCTGTTTAGGTGTAGCTTCGGCTGGGGCGACACGCTTAGACCACTACTACCAGCCGTACCAGGTACCGAGGCCGGTACTATGCGCCTGCCTTCACTGGGAAACTGATAGCGCTTCACCGGCTGATCTGTCACACCAATCAATCATCTAAGGTAAGTGCGTTCTTGACCGGAATGCATGAAACACATTGGAATCACCTTACGTAAATGATTTATAATTATAACTCTAGATCTCAATACATGGAATTATGTACCTAGGTATAATAGGTAAGCTTAGATAATCCAGGAACCCGGAGATAATCGGAGGAAATGACTTGCCATATTAGGGTTTAATCAAGTGGGACATCTGCAACCACTTAAACGCGACACGCGAAAAACGCGGTCAGGAACGCGACAACCATGGATTTTGATTCCCCTCTACCCCTTTCCTAAACAACCAGTTCCAGTCCAAGTCTACTACGTAACCTTGGAAATCTCCCCCACTTGAAACCTGGCTCTCGATATCTATCTCACGGTAATTGTCTGAGGAGTAGAGGACCTCAAGTTCTATCTATAACCGGTTTTTCTACAGTTTACAGACCCAGTTACGGAAGAAAATTAGGTACCATGGATAGTTTTATGCTTCGAGATGAAGCGGCCAAGGAGCGCATTCGCTTGGCTGAGGAGTTCCTCGATCCTCGTAAGTTCGTCGGTGGCTATGCTGGTGCTCTTATTGCGATATTGACGAATACGCTTCTGGACAGATGATCCGCGTGCGAGGAGTTACCGATCCGATATCATTCTGATGCTCCAGAAGAATCAAAAGCGTTTAGTAGTCAACTTAGATCACGTTCGCGACCACAACACCGAACTTGCAGACGGTCTACTATTCGACCCATTCGATTACACTCTAGCATTCAACCATGCGCTCAAAGAGATCGTTAAGACCATTCCGCAAGCACGACCAGACCAAACCGATCCAGATGTCTTGTACTACTGCGCTTGGGCTGGCAGTTTCGGTCTCAATGCTTGCAATCCTAGGACCCTGTCGTCCAATCACCTCAACCATATGGTTTCGATCGAAGGTATTGTCACCAGATGTTCGCTAATCAGACCGAAAGTCGTCAAGAGTGTGCATTACAACGAGAAGAAGAACATTTTCCACTTCCGCGAATACCGCGATCAGACTATGACCAACGGCGTGACCACATCAAGTGTCTATCCCCAAGAAGACGAAGAGGGGAACCCACTCTTAACAGAATATGGATTCTGTACATATAGAGACCATCAGACTATTTCGATACAAGAAATGCCCGAGAGAGCCCCTGCCGGCCAACTACCTCGTGGTGTGGATGTCATTCTCGACGACGACCTTGTCGACAAAGTAAAACCTGGAGACAGAGTACAGCTTGTGGGTATCTTCCGGACACTTGGAAACCGAAATACAAATCACAATAGCGCGCTATTCAAGACGATAATCCTAGCGAACAACGTCGTCCTTCTCTCATCTAAGGCGAGCGGAGGTGTAGCAACGGCTACCATCACCGATACCGATATTCGTAATATTAACAAGGTTGCCAAGAAGAGGAATCTCTTCGAACTTTTGTCACAATCGTTGGCTCCTAGTATTTACGGTCATGATTATATCAAGAAGGCGATCTTGCTCATGCTGCTGGGTGGTATGGAGAAAAATCTGGAAAATGGTACACATCTGAGAGGAGACATCAACATTCTTATGGTTGGTGATCCTTCCACAGCTAAATCTCAACTTCTACGCTTCGTGCTCAATACCGCCCCGTTGGCCATTGCCACTACTGGCCGCGGCTCTTCAGGCGTCGGTCTCACGGCTGCCGTCACGACCGATAAGGAGACGGGCGAGAGAAGACTAGAGGCCGGTGCTATGGTTATGGCAGACAGAGGAGTCGTCTGTATTGATGAGTTCGACAAAATGTCCGATATCGACCGAGTCGCCATCCACGAAGTTATGGAACAGCAGACTGTTACTATTGCTAAGGCAGGTATACATACATCACTCAATGCCCGTTGTAGTGTCATTGCGGCTGCCAACCCTATCTTTGGGCAATACGATACACACAAGGATCCCCACAAGAACATCGCCCTTCCAGATTCTCTACTATCTCGTTTCGATCTTCTATTCGTTGTCACAGATGACATTGAAGACACCCGAGATCGTCAGGTCTCCGAACACGTCCTACGTATGCATCGTTACCGTCAACCCGGTACCGACGAAGGCGCGCCGGTTCGTGAAAATGGCCAACAGGCTCTCAGCGTCGCACTGCAAAGCCAAGACGCTACCCAGGCGGTCACCGAAGTCTACGAGAAATACGACGCCATGCTGCACGCCGGTGTCACCGTAACCTCAGGTCGCGGCGCCAACAAACGGAAGGAGGTTTTAAGTATCCCATTCATGAAGAAGTACATCCAGTACGCGAAGAACAGGGTCAAGCCGGTACTAACCCAGGACGCGTCGGAGCGTATCGCGGAAATATACGTCGGCTTACGTAACGACGAGATGGAAGGCAACCAGAGGAGAACGTCTCCCTTGACTGTCCGTACCTTGGAGACGCTCATCCGTCTAGCAACCGCACACGCCAAGTCCCGGCTCTCCAACCGAGTGGAAGAGCGAGATGCGCTCGCGGCCGAGGCGATCCTACGTTTCGCCCTGTTCAAGGAGGTCGTCGAGGACGAGTCGAAGCGGAAGCGAAGACGGACCCAACGAGTCGAGTCGGACGACGAGGACGAAGACAGCGACGACGACGATGGCGACCGCGGCGATAGCAGCTATAGGGGCTCGACAGCTCGTGGCAAAACCGCCCCGTCGACCAGGACGACTGGCCGCGCCCAGCCATCGACCAACGGTAGCCGTCGCACGAACGGCACGAGCAGCCGCACGCCGGCCCGCTCTCCCGAAGCAGGCGACGACGCCGTCGACGACGAGGACCTATACAACGCGACGCCGCAACGCCCCGGCCGAAGCGGAGCCGCGTCTTCGTCGAACGCGCCCGCAACATCGCAGCTCTCTTTCGCTTCCTCGGTGCCCGCCTCGCAACTCGAGACGCAGGAGACGGAGACGCAAGAGCGGGACGCGGCTTTAGCTTCTAGCGCAGCGGACCTGAATATCGACGCGCCGATCACGCCGGAGAGACTGGCCATGTTCCGGACGGCGCTGGGCCAGCTGCTCAACACGGACCTGTTCGACGACGACTCCGCGGACGTGGACGAGGTCATTACCGCGGTGAACAGCCGCGTGGAGGGCCGTGGCGACGCGTTCTCGCGCGAGGAGGCTGTCAAGGCGCTTAAGAAGATGGATGAGGCGAATCAGATCATGTAAGTGTGACTCAAACTCGTGCCCGTGCCCCTACTCCTGATACGTCAAATATATCGGAAATACGAAAATGATGCTAACGAGGAATACAGGTACACGGATGGTAATTTGGTGTATAAGATCTAGGCATAGATGATGCTGAACGGAAGGTGATGGGGTTACGACGATATGGTGTATGATCCATGACCCATGACCCAAGAGATTAGAGGCGTTCCCGAGAGGTTGCGAATCTGTTTGTGCTTATCTGACTGTCTGGCATTGCTGGTTCTGGTCTGCCTTCTTCGTACAGTCATAGGTTACTTAATGGATGTCATGAGCTACGTTGATAATTTGCAATACTACTTAAAGAGGTCATGTTAATGATGTTCATAGATGTCCAGTCATGATAGCCACCTGCCAACCATGTGAGGTCAGGTACTCTAAAGACGTGGTGATTTAAACTTGCTATCTTTTCTGGGTCACGGCTGCCTTGCTGACATGAATAATGGGTGCTTGTACTTGCCACCGCAAAAATGGGATCAGCACTAGAGCATGACATAAAGCGAAGTAGAAAGAAGTTGCAAATGTAGCATTAGTAGTCCAGTTAAAAGGACGTCGTATCATAGGTAAGTAAAGAGAGTATCCCTTGTAGTTAGGCCATCGTCACCAATTATACCATGACCCCGTCGTGTAAAAACATTAAATTCATTGTAAAAGACTAATTTGGTATCGAGAATCTGCGGAATCCTTCAGCCTGAACGATGATAAACACCCTAGCAATCATGAAAGCCCTATTTGACGCCTGGTTGTTATGAATATGTGCCCCCCCATCCTTATACAAGTACAAGACCAACTGAGAGCCTAATCCCAAGCTGGTTCGTCGAATCGTCCTCGATGTATTAATAGGGTTCAATTATACGAGGATGAATGCGAATATGAATGTGTGGAGATCCATTACCATGTAACCAGACCGTCGCCTCTGAAACCAAAGCGTTTGAGTATTAAGGAATTAGGCGGCTTCATCGCCCTCCATCTTTGATATCCACTTAGGCATCGTTCCGTACTTCTCCTCAAACGTCTTCTGAAATTTTTCACAATTAGTCCACATCGCCGAGCCCTGCTTGTGGTAGGTATAGCAATTGGTGAAGATCTGACGGACATCGGCGAGAAAGTCTTGTTCGTTGTTATACTCTCGACGATCCATCTTGCCCTTGACAGTGTTAAGGTCCATCGGTTTCTTAATTACGTCAAGATAATCAGGAACGCCGTCCTCGATAGGCCTTACAGGTTCACGGAAAGGTCCCACCAGACGAGTCCAGAAGCCTATTATCATATTAGTATATATGGAAGGTGTAGGATGAGGAGAGTTGGCTTCATAATGAAGAGTCAGGGTAAAGCCAAAGGGAACTAACCAGGGCCAGATAACATTCTGCTAAGAAGATCAGCACAGAAGTTCAACTTCTGGTCTGATGAATATTGTTGGTCATCCATGTGACCAAGGCTCGATCTCTTCTTAACGAGCTTCGGTGTGGGCAAGGACGCTCTTGGGGCAGACTTCTTTGGTCCAGCCTTCCGTTCCGTCTGGTTTGCGTGAATAGTTGTAATATCTGAGTGACGGTGTTTCTGCACCTTATGGTGAGATTCACCGTCGCTTTCCTCAGCTTCGAGATAGTGTACATTCTTAGTTCGGGATTGACTAGTCGGAGACGGGTGTTGGTTAACTTGTATGACCGGCGAAGAGTTGAGGTGGCTCATTGCGATCACAAGCTCACTGAGGACTTCCTGTGGAAGCGACTTTGTGAACTCTTGACGGGACTCGGAAGATCGAATGTACTCGGCAGCCCAGTTGAGAAGGAGTTTCCGAATAGAAGAACCCTCTGGGGCATCCTTCCATGCTTGAACGAGCAAGGGAGTGGCTGGGATATGTTGGGTAACTCGTCGGCACTCGGTCATAGCATCAAGTGCTTCGTCGCAGAGACCGTCGATTCCCAGCTCGTGGCCGAGCTTCCAGGTAGATATAAGAACTTCGTAACCCGGGAGTGATGCTACTTCAGTGAAAAGTTTACCGGTGTATAGGAAGTTCTGAACGAATCCGAAGACTTCAGGTGTGGCTTGGGGAAGTCTGATGACGTGCTCGATTTGCTCATTTTCAGTCTCTTCGCCTTGCTTGTCGGCAAATTGGGTGCGATAAAATGATGACTTAGCACAGAGGAAGTCTTTCTGGATGCCGAAGGGCATCTCATCCTCACCAACAAGGATGACAACAAAGATAACGTGAGGTTGTCTTCAGATTCATGTTAATATAGATAATCGGATTATGGGAGTGAGGTTAATAACTTACAGCCACGAGAAATTGACAGGCTCTATAGTGTCCGCCCTCTTGCTGACAGCTTGCGCCACTTCTCCGGTTTCTGTCTCCATGATTCTTCTGAGCCTAGCTAATGAGAAAGTGTTAGATACAAAAGCAACAGAAAGTGGGACGGAAAGTACGTAAATAGAGGCCACATATATGTCGAAGTATGAAGATAATGAAAATGGGTAAGATGGAGGAATGGTGTATGGAGGATGGAATTTATTGTTAAATGTGTGGTGTTGCGTTGCGTTGTGATGAATGTGTTGTGTGAAGATTGCCTACCTCGTACCTTGGGAAGGTACTTGAGTGTGACGAGAAAGGGCATGATGGTGGAAGATGAATGACATGAAATGGCAATGTTGCCGTGAATAATGAAAGGAAGGCTCAGATAAAAATTATTCGACCAACTGAGAATTGCACTCGATGCCAATATAGCAATACGTACTTACCTAGGTAAGCAAATAGCCGTATGATCAGTCTGAAGTTGAATCACCTTGACTCTTATCGTTCACCTCATCAGATACTCGTCAAGACGAAGGAGTATCAAGCCAAGATCTCATAGCGGCGCTAAGAGTATTGTCTGTACGCCTGTTACAATTATCGATGGATTTTATGTTGATTGAGCTTTCCAAATCACCAGTTCCGATGAATCCAGCGGAAACTTATTTTATGAGATTTCAATGCAATTCGAATGAGCTTGATGAATGCAATTGAGCAATCCTCGATGGCATTGTTGAATTCAATGATGAAAAGTAAATCGATGAAGTCTTGTTGATGAATGAGTTTATCATGTGAGGTTTCATACCTGCCAATGAAAAATAGATGGAAAGCTCCAGTCAGGGGTGACAGGGTTCTTTCTCCACAATGTCCTGATATCTTTACGTGCACGGTCGTCATTGTGGTCCGTGTGGGTACAAACCGTCTACTCGCACATTCCCCAGACCACCAACCCAGCTGCCCACGATGGCTACTTTCCATTGTTAACTTCCTTAACCTATTGTTGCTTCAAATTAAAATGATACGTATCCATATGAAGACTCAAAGAGACATATACGCACTAGACTGAATGTCAAGAACGATCTGAAGCAATATACGATGACTCTACCTACTTCATCAACTGCCTGTGAGATGGTAAACTACGTACACCCAAGATTATTAATAAGGCACGTCCACGCCAAATCACGATGAATATCTTAGGACTGAAATATATTATACTTCATAATTACAACTTTATTCAGTGCGAACAGTTATCATCACAAAATTTACAATTTTGCCTGAAAAGCATCTTAAATACTGAGCACCAATCCTAGCCTAACGAGACCATCCAAATTCCACCATATATCATCCCATTGTTCCTCAAGTACTTATAACAGTTTGCTTCAAAGACCTTCCACCAGCACGGGCTCTTGTCACGTATCGTCGTGGAGTTGAATCCCCAACAATAATATCAACTACAACCTCCAAGCTCGTGATTTGCTGTTACATAGGCAAGTAGGTGGTAAGTTGGTAATAGGCTTTGGGTATTCAAAACAGAGCGCCCATAAATCATTACTGTAGGTCTGAGTCCGGTACAAATTTCGGGGCTTTGGGTAGCTACAAGACTTTCGGAGGGGTCAGGTAGAATTTTACAGTGGCATGGGCTCCCATTATCAGGAACTCGAAGACTGTGGGCGCATCATGTTAGCACTCTCCATTCCCTATCAGCGAGACATTTGGCCATAAGCTTAAGCACATATCGCTGAATAGCATATATGAGTGAGAGTTGATGTTTAGTTTCGAAGTCTTCAAGGCCCCGTTGCACCTGCCAAGCAATCTTTGCATCTTCGGAGCCCGTTCCGGGGGCACGGAGTGGGAGTTGTGATGAATTATACCGAGGGAGCCAGTGGTATGTACCAATAGAGCGGCCGCTACTAGCTCATTAAGAACGTACGACTTGAACGAATACCCACCTCCGCATAGCTAGGTACTTGGCAATCATAAGCGCGCTTCTATCTATCTATCTATCTCTCTCTCTCTCAATATAGGTAATTACCTATATAAAACTACGTTAGACGACCCTACCAACCAATAACGGCTTCTACTCTAGATCACAAGAGAGCATCCATACGCCCGCAACCCATCTCCGAGTTAAAGCCTCCTATCCGGCCCTATCGTCGTAATGATCGCAACCCCCAGGTAACCGGCGAAAAAACAAGGAACCCACCTATCATTCCTGCTTCCCCGGAACCCTTTGAAGCGATCTCAGATCGTAAGATTGCGGGTCCGAGTCGCTGTGAAACGAAGACTACCGAAAACGATCATATGTTGCACAAGTGAACTATCACTTTCTACCTCCTGGGTCCGCGGGGCGCCGCGAGAGAGAGGGAAGGCCGAGGAATATCGAACGGCGCACCCCGATAGCGAAACGAAATGCAACGGCCGTACCAACAGTCGCACCGAGTCGCGTCTTAATCAAAATCGCTTGCAGGCTGCATAGATATATATATGCCGCACTATATGTACCTAGAAGATAAATACCTGCTAAACAAGCTTACTACGCAGCAGATATGAAGCCAAGAAAGCATCATCATGGCTTCATCCATGGCATGAACGGGTCGGCCCTGTAGCTCCTAGGGAGCCTCGCCCATGTCCCCGGAGCGAGATCCGCTTTAATACGATCTCGACGCGTCGATTCGTGTCAAGACGTAACTCAACCCAACCTAGAAGCTATTCCCAGCACGCGGCAGCCATTCTATATTAGGCATCACACAGCCTATATCCCGAGGTTTAAGACCCTAGATATAAGTCTTGGGTATGTAGTTCGCTGGCGGACGTAATCCGGAGGAAGAGATGACCCGAAAGAGCTAAACAGGGAGGAGTGTTGGATCAATCTCGTACAACTCTCGGTAATAGCATCAGAACTTGCACAACTATAGAAGATAGAATATTCTTCGCTTGTAGCTAAGAGTTTCCCAGGGATCGCGGCACAACCTTCCGAGGGTTTGTGGAAAGGCTGTCCCGAGTCCGCACACCGGTGAGTGGGAGGGCAGGACCGGCCTGCAGGTAATACATATCCGGTTGCATTACCGCTGCAAGATATTCTCGTAGAACCAGGTTCCTCATAAAGGTAAGCAGAGGTTTGCTCACTCAGCGGCCCCTTTCTCCGCATTCAACCCCGACATTCAGAATCTCAAGATGGAGCCAAGGCCCTCGAATGATCTACGAGCCTTGCCGAAAGTGAAAATATGGGGTCATAAGTGTAGTGTAGAGTCGATCCATGCGGCGTAGATTGCGTTCTTTGCGTTATCGCGCTTATATTAGCATTATAGTAGGGGTATTTGCTAATTCGATGGTGTGACACATGATGGCTCGACATCTTGGGCACCATAGAATACGTATGTCGACGCGCAGGTACATCTTCTCTTCTCTGCCAGCCACCTCCACAGGTATAGGCCGGCGATAGATCCCCTGCGGCTGAGCTCCGATCGCATTGCTACCCTCTAAGGAAATGATACCACCGATCGGGTGGGTTACAGTTATAAATCCACCATCGTATGGTGGTAAAGCCAGGAATCTGGGAGTGATCTTAACGGCAACTAGTTCGAGTGGAAATGGAACGGTGGTTGAGAGAAGGGGAGGGTCAGAAGCAGACGAATGGTCCAGGTCCTCAAAAGTCTTCCTCCCAATCAGTATAATGGAGCTCAGGGGTTATTCCACAGTACCCTTGGCGGCAGGATTATGTTTATTGAGTCGCAACGGTGCAATGTAACGGTTCCTGGTCGCAGTTCTGCAGCCAGATGCCGCGACCGGTTAAAAATCATTTCCGGAGGACCCTGAATGAATTGGAGTTTCGGTCATCGCAATCGCGATTAGATATTATCCTACCAGCAGTTTCATCTCGAACGAAGACAGCAAATAGGGTCGATTAGACGCCATTCAGGATACTGAGGTGATCGAGTCTTGGCATCAACGGGTGTACTTCTATCATAAAGTCCTTCTGCGTTGATGTGAAATATCATTTATGTAAGTCTGTATGATCCTGTCAGTCCCGCGACCCACACTGGGAAAACGACGCTCGCATGCGAAAATTTTATCACGGTAGCAGCTTGTGTTATTTTCACCTGTCCCTCAATAATAGTAACACGGGTGGTCCCAGATCGATAAAACTGACCTAAAGAATAGAATTGGGCCGTGAAAGACCGAGGTGTGGAGTGGCGGTGACAGACCTCTTAAAGCTAGAAGCATAAGCAGCCGACATTTGGCCGATTCCTCATGGTCCCCCTATGGCCCCTCGAGAATGTTGAGGGTCCAGTGGAGCCGCATAAGTGCTGTTCATAGAATTTTCAGATGGGACGTATCGTGAATGTGCGCGTCTCGCATTCAAGACAGACTGGACCAGGCTTTCGAAGACCCACAACCAGCGATGTCAACTAGAGTCGTCTCCATCAGTTCCGGTATGACCCGATTCCAGGTCTGCGGATTGATCCGACGATCCTTCCTCCGTCTGAGCATCATCATCTTCAGCCCGTCCGAGGAGAATATCCTCGCTTCCTTGCCATTGGGGTGGCATACTCGGCATTTCTGATTCATCCTCATCCTCCCAACCGTAATCTTCGCCCTCACTATCGGCAACCTCGAAGTCTGTTTGGCTTAATTTTCGCTTCAGACGCGGACTCGGTGATAGTGGCAAGGATGACTGGTTCGCATCTAGATCAACGCCGACGAGACCCCCCTATGCAGGTTAACAGCTTGGGTTGGTTACGTATTAAGAGTTGACTTACACTCTGAACATTGAAGGCGAAAACTTGACTGATACCACCCGGAATTAACTTGCCGTTTAGCTTCTGAACGCCGACAAAACGAATGTCGCGTACTGTGTCGTTTTCCATTACCCAATCTCTAAAAAGAACAAGTCGCGTAGCGATCCCTTGCTCCCAGGTGCCAGCATTAATAGCAGGGATAAGCGTGGCACCACGTTCGGATTGCATTCTCGTTGCGCACTGAGACAAAATGACAATGCAAAGATCTCGCGTAGCGGCAAGTTTCTGGAGTGTCGATATCAAGAACTGAAGGACCTGTAATCTTCTAGCCGAAGGTCCGGGACCTGCATGTGAAATCAGCGAATAGTTAAGGACAACCTGTGAAACGTTTGTGCTGTATTACCTTTTTGGGGCCGTCGGGTCTCGAAGTTTCTCGGGTAAGCATGGTTTATTAGACTAGATAGAGTATCGATCACAATAAGAGAGGTATTGCCTGGGATCGCATTTGATGTGGGCTTGCAGAGGAGCCCGATGAGATGAGCTAGGGTGGGCGCTCGGAAATGGAGAAAGTTGTCCGTTTGATTCTCTATTAAGGGAGTAGTAGTGGATGGCGACGATGGATACTGAGCAGATACGATCACATCATGCAATCTACGGGGGGATATCGGGTGGAACCCATCTGTAAAAGAGGTCAACGATTTCGTGGCACGCAGAATAAAAGATGCTGATTCAGTGTTGAATACTGCGCAATAAATGAAGTAACACGAACCTACCCAGATAACCTTTTCACCTTGGCGTAGGATGTTTGCGGCGAGCTGAATACTATGGCCGTATTTAGAATATGGTATATGAATCGTGAGATGCTCATAATTAGGGAGTAACCTTACCCAAAGGCGGTCTTTCCAGATCCCGGGGGCCCCCATATTTCTACGACTTGACCCTTTTGCAGTCCTCCGGGGCGAGGGAGCGCACTGCTATTGTCAACGATGACATCATTGAGGTTTTGATCGAGATATGTGAGGTTTGTAGATATAAAGCGTTGAGGATCAGTTCCGAGATCCTCAAGTGCCTGGGCTGCTGAAACAGTAGGCAATCGATCTAAAGCAAATTAGTGATGCTTTCATTTAGAATTAGATTTTAATCCTCACGAGTCGAAGTCAAATCGAAGCTAGATATATCTTGACTATGAATAGATTGGTGATTCATGATGGAAATTGTGAATGAAATGAGCGACGTGAGCAACTCATGAGTTCTGATATGTGGTTACTTGAATTATTCCTTATTTCCTCACATCGTTCGGATTTATACCGGCATCTAAATCGGGCGGTGAGAGAAAGTATGGAGGAAGTCGGAAGTCTATTCTGTCAGCAGTTGGAGATTTGGGGGTTGATTTCTCAATTTCAACAGGGTTGAGCCTCAATCCATGGATCTGTTTAGCATAGCGGTTGCCTGCAGATCAGCGCTGATCATTCCGACTTCCTTGAATCACTGCCGGTAAATCTATGGCACGTGACGCGGGGTTCCCTACTACCAAGGTTACTTAGTAATTGGGCCTAGGACCTTGGTACCTTCAAGGTAATTTTAGCGACACTGGATGATTTATGTGTAGAACTTGAGAGATTAATGTTTGAAGTTTGAAGTAGGCCGTTCAAATCTTCTTCCTTTCGATTAATGATAATAAATGCTACCAGCTTCCTCTCTTAAGCCTATTGATGACAACGGATGCAAACAATTTGTTCTTGAATCGCGTCGATATCGGAGGTGCTTTGAAACATTCAACCGACTTCGCAGTACGAAGCATAGATTGCCTCGATCCCAAGCCTTTTATTCATGGTAGATACCGCACCTAGACTCTTTATACATATGAGAACCTCTTCCACCGGGCTTTCGACAGCATGACTATTGGGATGCATATATTTAAATGAATATTCCATCCTCTAAATAATGCTTTCTGAATACTACGCAAGGCGTTAAGACATGTTGCGCGCTGATAATCTAGCGCGATTTCGGAGCAGACTATTTCGCTTTGGTCTTTTGCATATGAAAGCAGGGTTCGAAACTCACGCATTCTAAATCCGCTCAGCTACATCGGCTATCCACGTGTACTAACGGTTATCTCCTGGGTTGGGGAAACTTAAAAGCTAGTACAATAGAGGCCGATTGGTTTGCTTGTGCAATACCATAACTTGAGGTATTGATGTGACGCGCATCGCGGAAGCTATCTCGGCTTTGGTAGCTGTATAAAGAATCTCCTATGGGTGCTTGCTGTATTCTATGCCTATCTTGCAACTCTTAAAAGGGTACTACATATTTGACGCGTACAAGCTGAAAATAGTTTCCATATCGAGCAGCTTCCAGCGACGCAGTGCTCTTATCACATCTTACGCCATCCTCTTAGGCCCCCTCTTGAGCAAGTCCTAAACTAGAATAGTCGGACGGTAAAACCCCACGGAGGTTAGTCGTCAGCAAGATGAGAAGCTTGTCTGCCATTATTGTTTCCAAAAGTGCTTGGACGCAATCGCGGAACAAACCGAGCCGTGACGACTTACGTCGTGATCAGCAATGGAGTGTAGAGGCACAAATTAATGCGGCGTGCTAGTGCTGTTTAAGGGGAATCTAAGACCAGAGACAGCTCATTTCAACGAATCAGTCTATTTGCACCACTGTATATCATACGTCCGTATCGTCAAAAGATTAGCGATCAGACATCCGGATAGGGTAGCCGTACCATGCCACTGGAAAAGAAGGGATACCTACGTACATACCTAGTAGGTATGTACATATTAGGTATGTTCCCAAACCCATCGTTATCGGGAGGCTTTTCTACGCATTGATGTAGCTAGTCGGCCTTCAATGCGGAGAGACGAAGACGCTTTCTCATTGGTTCGCATACATGTCTTGGTGATGATGCTACGTATCTTCAGATCTTAAGCAGGGGACTGCTGCAGGTACGTACGTCTCGTGTCGGGGAAAAGTTTCAACTCGGACCGGTTCCTAGGGTCTGGACCTATTGACGCCACAGTCCGGGGGCCCCAGGAAGTTCAGCTTTCTCGGAAACATGGAACGGCACTCCTATCTTTTTAAGTTACCCTCGGGCGAGCGTTCAACGTGGGAAATGCATCTAGATTCCCCTAAAATGAGCATGGCTTAACATGGCATATTCCATTCAAATTTTTATAGGTAGCTATATGGACGTTAATTCTCAAAAGGTCTATAGCGCACCTGAGTTTATGGTGAATAAAATTCTGTGTTCGAAACTACGAGTCCAGAGACTCATCTCGGCTTAATGGCAAGCGGAGCAAGCCGTTTACCACTTACCTAGGCGGTTAGCGAACCTCGGACGACCTCGGAGGCACCGAAATGCGTACTATCCAGAAAAACCGGGGAACGATTCGCCCGCGGGCAATCCAGGTTCGCGATCAGAAGAAAGATGGGTCTAAGGAGTGAACCCCCACTGAGTAACCCTGAGAGGCCTTAACGACTGCCGTTGCGGCTGTAATTATTCCGCAGCTCTGTTTCTAGTGAATGCTCGCCCGCAAAAAAAAAAAAAAAAAAAAAAAAAAACCACACCTCGTCTCATTACTGACAAGCGTTATCTAGTTGATACCAATCAGTCAGTGTGGAGTTCGAGTCCGTACTGCTAATCATTGTTCAGCAAGGCTATATTCCTTCTGTCGATTATCCTAAAGATCAAGGATCAGGATCTTGGCTGATCTATTGATAGGAATTTGTGGGTGTCCAAGTCGTCTAAATCTAACGGAGTGATGGATCTTGTTCGGTATTTCGGCTTACTTAATCGAATCGAATTTGCACTGAGGCACAGTGCGTCCCGTGTTTTTTGGATGCAACCTAGCAGCCTGGGTACCTGACTCGTAGGGGATTCGCGGCTCGTACAAAGGGGTAAGAGCATTCACCAAGCTCGACAGGCCAGCCTCTCTCCCCCTCTCGCTACGCATGCTACGTAGTAGCTAAGGCCCTACTCAAACATCAGAGAATGGCCCGATTGACAGGAAGCTCGTTCGGTCGTTAATATCGCCTTGCCAAGACGTTGCTGGACCCTATGTGCGTTTGTTGGCCTTCACTCTATTTTCATTCTAGAATGGGCTCCAGAATATTCAGTAAATTGAACTGCGGAGAGAGCCTTTCTGCGGAGAAGCGCAACTCTCCGCTCATCTCCGCACTGCTGTACACGTAGTTTTGAATAGACTCGGTTTCCGGAAGGAGTAGAAAACCTCTATTTTGCCACCGCGCAGATAGTCGATAGGTATGAGGTGTTCTTATGTTATTATGCATTAAGAACATACAAACGCTGACTGATAAATATCTCCTACGTCGGATAGGCGATCATACTGTTTATTGCTGTAATAGTTACTGTAATTATCATATGAGCCGATATAGGTCGGAGAATATCGTCTAGTGTAGTTGCATTATTTGATCATTAGTCGAGATCCCACGGGTAACATCTCGCATTAAAACGGTTAGATAAAGCATGTTTTAGTTTTATTCTTGGATTATTTTATCACTTAGTACAGATATTGCATAAGCCCCTGTTTACAACGTAGTACCTTATAGGTATATTAAATAAACGTTATAATTGTTTGCTAGGTAGCAATTATATAGTATATAATCTCGCGATGAGAATTGCTGCCCCAGGTTCCAAATTGACTTGGCAATATAAAAAAGCTCGTTTGCACAATTACGACGGTCAAAGAGGTGCTTTTTCGGTATGCCTGATTAGGGAAATGAGGGCATCGTTTAGATCCTGAAAAGTCGTTAAACCTAATGAGGCATAATATTTAGTTTATCTGTGGAACTAAGACCCCGGATCAGTGGAAGTTTAAGTGTTATCTTTGTGGGGAAGTTTTATGTAGCGGATTCCACCATGATAGATGCGCAATGCGCATGTGTTGATTGTACAGTGTGTACTTTTGTTGTGCTCATTTATTACATAGTACGATATGTAGAGTTGCGCCCTCAAACTTGGGTTGTCTTGTACGTGGCCTTTCGTATCCTCACTACTCATCTCAATCGTCCCGCAATCCGGGGCCGAGGTCTTATTAGTATCGAATCACTTAGGAATTGAGGCTGTATCTTCAAGGATGAAGGATAGAGCGATTGGCTTCAAGGCTACTCCCGTTCTTCCCCGGACTTATCACCCCTTATCCTCATGTACGTATTATTAGTTAGAGATATATGAGCTCGATGCAGTTGGCACTACACGCATTTGCAGTGTCTTTCTTTGCCCGCATCAACAAGCCAGTCCCTTGGTATGAATGAGACTTCGACGCGAGTCTGCCCAATACGCAAGGACTACATAATTGCTCCTGCAGCCCTTCAATTTCATGTACAGGCACTTACAAGGCAGCCAATGGGTCATATCGTGCAGACAATATTGTGTGTGTATTTCTGCCTTGCCTGCTTGCCTGCTTGCCTGACGTAGGATCGACTCTCAAGTTGTTCGAGCCTTGCTATTTTCTGTTTTCGTGCGGACCCCCACGTCCTAAGAAAAGCTTGGCGCCGACTGGGTTCTTCGGTAAACTACTAACAGGACTCAAGCACCATTACATCAACATTGACTGTTGACCGAGGAATTCCGTAGAAGAAATCATGCCTTTCTCGCGATGTGTCTTATACGCGCAGTACTCACCGAGGCTTGGGAAAATTCATGGGCTCGACTTGTCACTATCGGTTACCGTCAGCACGTGTAAGACTTTATCGTCACTTACCCCTTCAAAAACATGTGTCAAACGTGGATCCAGTGGTGCCCAGGCCAGGTTGATTCCAATAACTCGAGCCACACTACCCAGATACTCGACTAATCTTGTTGGAATATTAGTCTCATTAGATGAGAGCGTAACCGATAAGACGCTATGTTGACCTAGGATAGCAAGTATTTGGAACAGGACAAGGCTACCTTGGATCACAATGTCGTATGGGATGCACCTTGCCTAGCATGAATCTCTCATAAGATACGCGTTAGTCGATAGTACCAGGCTAGAGAGATAACCTGTGGGGAGAAACTCCAAGAACGTGATAGGCTCTGTTATCTAAGCCGAATCGTGGCGACATTCTTTACCCCAGGTTTAAGACGAACTAAAAACCCAAAGAAAAAGATACGCGGGGATCAAATTCCGAATTCTGTATCTTTGATTCTAGATTACCTCGTCCGAAGATAGGAAGGCGACGCTGTGCTATAGTCATCAGGCTTCGGTAGGATGGTTGGCCGGTTTCCTCTCAGGGGCTGAGCTGAGCTGAGCTTGTTTCCTTTAATAATTCAGTGTAGTATATCCCCTTTCTTATGTCAGCATAGCATTCCGTTCACAATTCTAGTGTGCTCCATGGTCCACTTATCGGACCCCATCCGTCCCATTGTCTTTCTGTAGTTTAGTGTAGTGCCGAGTTGACGATGGCGAAGATGGTCCTTATCTAACCTCCGTGCTAAAGAGTTCGGATAGGCTGGATACGCATAGTACGCTTTGAATGCGGCCGAGCTCGGCCCCACGTTCTCCATATCTTTTCCATCGTGGGCCTTCGCAATTTTTTCTTCTCTTAGAGCTTCGGACGAGGTACGGTTATAAGTGGCTTGCTTTGGTTTAGAAGACAAATGGCAAAACAAAACAGGTTAGATGGGTTACCTAATGACGCAGGTCTTTCTTCAACCCCATAAACTAAGTAGATTTTTTTCTATTTGCCTTTGGGAAATGGTTCGAACCGAGGCAGTATCCGCGGCGGGAGTACATCGTCAAATCAACCAAGCGTTCCCTACAGCCGCTTTGTTATCCCCACACATTTCGGTCGTACTATGCCGCTACCCAGGCCATTTTCAGGTGGATGACTTACATGAGGCTAGTAAGATGAGAATGAATAGTATGAGCTTGGTACGATGGTCTACTGATCCATTACTGATCCATTCAGATGGGCTCCTTTTGCTTGCGGCACATGCGCTTATATTAAGTAATCCGAATGATGCAAACTGGCGTCTTTTTTTGTCGAGTTTTTTTTTTCTTCGAGAGTCTAAAGAAGACTTGACTAAAAATAACAAAGAAGTCAACAAACAATCTCGGAAAAGGGAAGCACATGGCAATAGAAAGGAAACACAGAAAGGACTAATAGTACCTAGTACTAATCGTGTAGGCATGTTCAGCCCATGATAATATACGCTGCTGAAAGTAGAATAACTGTGAATAAAGGGAATAAGAACATGTGTTGTGTTCAGTGAGGACTATTTGTGGCTGATTGTTCCTCTTGTTAATCCCACCCCCATCCCAGCCCTAGTCTGAGCTGTGGGCTTTCTAGGCCTATTCCTCTCTTTCCCTCTCTTTCCCTCTCTTTCCCTCTCTTTCCCTCTCTTTTTTCCATTCTTTTCTTTTCTCACCCCTACGCAGTGTGCTAGGAGATATGCACATATTATTGTACAGTTCAGGCTGGGTCCCAACGTAGCGGGATTCCTAAGCACATGTCCACTTACAATCCCCTGACCTCGACACGCGCAATAATCTCACACACCATCTCGTTTCTGCGCACACCCCGTACTATGCCGCGTACTATAAAGGGCGACGTAAAGAGTACAGTTGTGCAGTAGCGAAAAAAAAGTTGAGATAGCCTAAGATTAGAGTATCTGCATGTTGATCTAGACCGCTTAAGTGTCAGCGAATGGTGATTTTCAAGATCGGATATTCGAACAATCTCATATGTAGACGACTGACTCTACTATGTGCCTCTAAGTCAATTCTTTTTACAGTGGTCAAGTACAGTGTCGAGGTACCTAAGTAGTTCAGTAGGTTCAGCGGCCTCCACGTTTCTTCCCCCCTTTCCCCCTTCCCCTTCCCCAATTCTAGCTATACGTACCTAGGTACCCATGTACCCATGCTCAGGGATCCCCCTTCAAGGACTTGCCCAACCGACTAAAACCAAACTAACCAACCAAAATTTGGACCAACCAAAGGACGCATGTGCGCCTCCTTCAGAATGGGTCCCCAGGGTTCCAACTCCCCCAGGCCATTTTCGTCCGTCTACTGGATCCCCCCACACTAGGGGATTCTTGTAAGGCAGGGCCCCGGGGGCAATTGTAGGCAATTGGAACATTGTAAAGTTACAAGTCCTTGGGTACCTAACCTTGCGCACATTGCACTGTACGATACCGTACTGTACCTAAGAAACTAGGGAACCCTTCGTCACTCGTAGCACGTTTTGGCACTTTCCAATCCCAACTTAACTTTTCCGACCCGCCCGCTCTTACTGAACCTGGAGTTCATTTAAAATCATACCAGTGCCCCCATCCCCCCAAACGGCTTTCCTTTCGAAATTCTACCCGCACTATTACACCTGCAACCGTTCCCCAGCTCCCGACTAAAAAAGTTGTACGGCTACGAAACAACAACAATAATACAACAGCACCAGCAATTAATAAATATCGTGGGAATACCGAGGAAGAAAAAAAGAGAAGAAAAAGGAAACCCAAAATATTAGCCACGACAAAAAAGATTTGACTATCGTAACGACCGGCTATCCGTCAGCTTAACTTACCGCCGTTATTTCCCCCTTTAAGAAATTATTCTAGCGAGGAAAAGGCGGTGCCCACTTGGCTGGCGACGATCACATGCAACGCTCACAGTCAGCGGTGGATTTTTCCAACCTGCTGAATCCTGAGCCCACCACAACAATCAGCAACGACGGGAATTCGAAAGGAGACGTCGATATGGCTACGGTTACCGTTATCCGGCCGAACGGCCCTCTCCCTGGTGGCCAGCCCGCCGAAAACACCAATGAATTGCCCCGGCCGTACAAGTGCCCTCTTTGTGATAAGGCATTCCACCGTCTAGAACATCAGACGAGGCACATCAGAACTCACACTGGTGAAAAGCCACATGCCTGCCAATTTCCTGGGTGCAGTAAAAAGTTCTCTCGTTCTGATGAACTCACTCGTCACTCGAGAATACACAACAACCCGAACTCGAGGAGAGGAAACAAGGCCGGACAGGCCACGCATCACGGATTGGGTCACGCACTTACGCCGGATTCGATGATGCCTCCCCCTTCTAACCCAAGGTCTATAAAATCGGCACCTAATTCTACGCTTGTTTCACCGAACGTTTCACCACCTCACTCATACTCTCAATACGCTATTCCGCATCCAGGACCTTTGCACCATTATGGCCGAAATATGAGTGGTAATAGCCCGCATCCTGGCCACAGCATGGATATTGGCATTTTGGCCAACGTCTCGAACCAGCTTGAACGCGAGAACATGGGTGCTCATCACCACCAGGCGCGACCTCACCCATACTATGCCAACAGCGTCCACAACTCTCGAGGCCATCTTCCTTCCCTGTCTGCTTACCATATGACAAGGACGCATTCAGATGATCATGATGATCACTATTCTCATGCTCTTCGCCATGTCAAGAGATCAAGGCCAAACTCGCCCAACTCCACCGCACCGTCATCTCCAACTTTCTCTCATGATTCTCTATCCCCCACACCGGATCACACGCCACTTGCAACACCCGCTCACTCCCCGCGTCTTCGGCCGTATGCTGGTATCGAACTCCCGACTCTACGGAACCTGACGTTGGGTCATACTCCCGCATTAGCCCCGATGGAACCACATCTCGAAGGGGTGGCATATCCACCACCCACGCAAACAACCAACAACGGTCCTCGACCCAGCGGCTTATCCCTTACGGACATCATTAGCCGACCTGATAGTAGTAGGAAATTGCCTGTACCTCAGGTGCCGAAGGTCGCAGTCCATGACCTCCTGTCTAATGACGGTTACAACACCAGCGGCCGAAGCTCAGCAAGTGGTAGTCTTGCAGGTGGCGACCTAATGGATAGGATGTAGGCTCGGGAATTCAATGATGATTGAAATATCCACTGCGGCATGAATAACGACTTAAATTATAGAGGGTTACATAGACAAGAGGTGGCGTTCCAATGGCGAAGTTTTTTCGAGAGCTGCAGCTACTATACGGCTTGTTTAATAAGACTACCTGCGGTAGTATTCAAGCAATCATGCCGTGAGGGGATGGGTGGTTTATTTGGGCTTGCCATGTTATCTGGCAGATTTATGAATCTATAGACTTGAGACCCTCATCGGCGGCTAGAATTCGTGTTATTAGTGGGTTTAGGAGTGAAATTTCTCTACTCTGGGTTTCCTTTAACCGAGCAGAATGGCCGGGGAAAGATCGACGAGAACAAGATTACCGGATCCCATTTTACGTTTCTTATATTTTATATCAGTTCCACTCACAGCGTTGGCATATCGGTGTTGGTTTTGTTCCTCATAGACGGTGGAATCGGCGAGTACAGCGGGATGCGGGTTTAAGCATTGTGAAGCTTGGCCGGATCGGCAGTCAAAAAACTTGGGCGGCGAGCTATTCTGTTTCCTCTCTTCTCTCAACTTCAAATGCCTATAAGGGGGCTTTGGTGAAGGGTCCGTTTGAGTGCGCGCATTTCAGCTCAATATCGGGCCAATATCTTGGTACAGGCTTGGCGGTACTGGTCAAAAAGACAGGCGACATGTTCACAGTTATTGGTAGTCGATAATGGTAAATGACATAAAGCACAGGCAAATGAAATTCGGTCTAGATCTCCGAAACCCCAAGAGACAGGTTTTCCACACCAGTTAGCTTAAGCTTACTTAGAAGCCATTTTCTTTCCTACCTAGTATGCTATGCTCATCGTGACAAATCTCCTAAGTCGTCGGGTTCAAAAATTCCTCCGTGGCGCCTCAACCGACATGTCCCAACCCCAGATTATGAAAATAAACTCAACGCATCGCCGTTCGTAACGCCACAACCCTAAAAAGGGAACGCTCAGGTCTCGGATGTTCTCTTGAGACGCAATGATCCAACCTTATGGAGAAGCTGGAGAACACCATGACATCGTTACACAAAGAAGAATTCGTTGCAACGATGTATACATTTTTGAAAGATGGCTACCTAGTGACTCGGTGACTAATAATACCTACCTGATCCCCCACCGCCGCTCATCCCATCCTATTGCCATATCACGGATTACTACGCAGCATAGCTCACCCCCTTGTATGTAGTCTTCCTTGGAGCACCCCGCATATGCCGAATGCGAACAAGGTACCTGGACGGAAGGTACGGGGGGACTGGGAAGAATATGGAGAAATTAAGGGATAGAGGCAGCGAGAGGGATTCGGCTCGGAGCGGGCTACCCTGGGCCTTGCCAAGGCCTTCCTCCAGATCTCTTACATGGGTTACGGCTTAGTGATAAGGCGGGATGGGATATTATGTAAACTTTCCAAGAGGTAGGCTTAATACATGTAGTCATAGTAATATTTCGATATGAAGAGGGCACCCGCATACGATAAAATGACACGCAAGTATTGTAGAAGAAAATTCTTTTTTACCTGTCTACTCTCAAATTTTATGCTCACCGCCTACCGAAGGATGATAGGGAGGAGAAACACTGGTACTAAAAGTAAGTCTATAATGGAACATGAGTAATGATAATAATAAAAAGCCGCCCCCACAAAACCCGGATGGCCTTATCCCCTTACTTCTTTCTCTCTCGTAACGGATGGGGTACATGGGGTTTCGTGCTTTGGGGGACGGGAATGACAGGCAGGAAGCACGGCGGCAGTGCGTCAGCCATCAGCCCTGCGAGAGGGAAGTCAGGGGGAAGAACCTTGGAAAGAGAAAAAGAAGAATTTGATTACCGGACGTCCCCGAAGAGCTGTCGTCCAATCCTGCGGTTGCGCTGAAGAAGCGGTGGGAAGAGGAGGCATCATCTCCTTATGCAACCTGCCAACGGTAGATGCGCGAGCCCCCAATGACAGTGACGGTTACGACGGAGTCTCATAAGGTAAGCAACGTACTATGTTATGTAGCAGTGTCTAGCCTTCTTACCTGCCTGCTTGGCTTATTTACATTCCTAATTACTTGGCTAGTCACCTTGGCCGGTTACTTGGCTGCCTGGTAGGTAGCAAGTGGATTAAGGGGATGGAGTTCCATAGGGGGGCTATTGCGTATTTTTGCTCAGCCTCGATCCTGAGGCGACCTGAAAGAGCAAGATAATTCTAACATCCGCTGACGTGATACATATCCAAATCCCGCCTTGCGGTAAGGTAGGAGTCCGTTCGCTCCGTCTTACATATTGCGCTTGTACCTATCTTTTTCAGTACGAAACTCGTAACAAGCCGATGGCACGGCTGAATGGGAATTAGGAGTGCCTACCTGATGATCGTGAGGTAATAATATGTATCCATTTCTTGGGCTAGGCGCTAGGCGTCTAGGCGTATCTTAGCACTCCTACAACAGCAGGTAGGTATCGAAATTATGACGTTAGAATATTGTATATTGTTGAGTAACTAAATTGTAAGGTTCCCATGTAGAATGCGTTAATGTTATCTAAATTATAGACGATCATGTGAAGATTGACTAAACTCAGGAGATTGTGAGTTCAGACATCAAATATCACATGCGCACTTGAGAAAGGGCATTCGAGCACTGACTTTCGAACCCCAGACTTTGTTTCATTACGCGTACAGGAAGTTTGAATCTTGCGGGGGCTCCAGGTTTTGCCATATTTGTCATTGGAAAGAACTGGAGACTTTCAAACTTTATCGCTACTTGCATACGTATCCAGGCAGGTGCCAGGCACTGTGCTGAGGTAAATACCTAAACTTAGAAACAAATCATTCCTGTTGGTTCAATACTTTTGACAACGCCAACAATTCATTGATTATGCACATATTCCAAAACTTCGGGCTCGTTTATGAAGACCTTCGGAGCCCAATAGAATCGCATTTCCACTCCGGATTTTCAAAGGGGGAGCATCACTATTGTTTATGATTGGATCTTCTCCGCGCGCATAAAATCGTCGCCAGCTTCGAGGGAGCCAATTCAGTTACGAGGAGCGTATTTTCTTTCCTTTTTTCTCTAATATCATCTCGTGGTTGTCTCCCCAGAAATGGAGAGTTACTTCGAGGGCATTACTCCTTGACCCCTCCGACGGGGTCCCTCCATGCAGGCACGGGCGATTACAGGAGACGGGGTTCGATACGTGCGAAGGATGGGATCCAAGTGCAGGCCGCATATTGCACAAGAACCGGCCGCCTGCCCAGTGCCCTGAAGCAATATTCCGCAAGCAGGTTTCTAACAATACTGGAGCATTAGGCGGGCGCCGATCAGCTGATTTGCGGCGTTATCATTGCCTGATGATGGTGAGAGAGCCACTTTGCGTGCTAAAACGCTAAATCTCGGGGTCCCATTAAAGTCGGTCGCCGCCGAATTATTCTATCTATCCTCTATGCTTTTTCATTCTCGTCCGAATAAAGTCGGAAAATCAACGGGTGCTGCGGAAACATGTGAAAACGCGAAACGCGAATCGGATCAAATATGATCGACCGGCCGCGTTCCCCGTACCTGTCTACGCTTTTCGAGGGGTCAAGGAGACGAGGGGTTAAAAAAATGGCGACGAAGGGGTCGCCCACTTTCTCCCTCTGGGGTTGCAATTACGACGGTATCGCAAGCCTTGTGCTCGACCTCTCTTCTTCACCGCAACTCCTGTACGAAAGTATGGGAATTCGCTATCTTAGATCATGGGGAAAGGGAAAAAGGCTGGACGAATAGAGTGCTGAAGTCGTGCTCTTGCGCAACCCAGCCTACTGATCGAGCGGCGAATAACGGCCAAGTAGGTAAGGGTATGTGCACTTCCTAATCTGGTCTGGGGGTAGAAACCATAGCGCCAAGCGACACCTTTCATGTATGACGACTACAGTATGTGTGCGATGCCGCCCGCTCTCGTCTTTCTAGTGTGGAGGACAATGTGGGGTGCGGCCATGAGGATCCTTGCTATTCCTTTGCCTGGTAAGTGTGAAGTTACGTATTATTACTCTGAAACCTGGACTAGCCCTTTGCCTGCGCCTCATGAGCTGTTTGCTTAAAACTTGGTTACCCGCATCCTGATTCGATAGATAGGGTAAGTGACAGATATTTTACGAGCCAAAATAGACCCCAGCAGAGCGGCCCCTTCACAGCTCAGCTGGCGAGTGACGCTCGTGATAAGCGTCAAGCCGAAGTTCAAAGTTGCTCATACATTCCATTGGACATCAGGCAAGCGATAATACATACATAGCCATGTGTTACCGCGCCCTAAGAATGGGACTATAAGCCCAATAGCATAACATGACCATTTCACGATACCAGCAAATATAAGAAAGACGCGTGGGGTAAAGCAGAGCTTTGCATTGGGCCAACCGACCCAACTCAACATCGCGAGTGAGACATACGGTTGGAATCGCGATCTCAGAGGTCGACTGAGTGAAGGGACCCAACCAGAATAGGGATGGTCATATGCCACGCGTCAATAGTATTCTAATCTACGTTCCCACATACGGGAGACCACGTACATGGTAAGCCACCAGACAATTTATCTTACAATTATCATCTTCCTATTGTCTTGCCTGTGGCGCCCTACTCACTCGACACGTTTAAATACAAGACACGATCCGGTCGGCCGATTCTCGACTTACGAAGGGGTTCGTGGGCACAGTCAGCCATCATCAACTTCGGGATTAAAAGGAGATATGTGTGGTAATGTTACAGGGCCGTGTCGTCAGGGAGTCATATGTCCCGCGTTACACTTAGAGTCTTAGACTCACACTATGTCTTACCACCTGCCGGTACTAAAGGTCCCTTTAGCACTTAAACAGCAGGTACTACACCAGAGCTAGACTCCCTACGGACCTTTCATATCGACGGAGGCGTGGGGGTATGCGCTTCGGACCTGGTCCACTCCACGGGGTTGGATCCCTGTTTTTCTCATGTACCCCAACTCCCCACAAATACCCTTTTCTCGACTTCGAGTTCGTACGGAGTACACAGAGGTCCCTAGCTGTCTTTGGCGTGTCACCGATATTTTTCCAGCACCAGGGCCACGGACTATGACACCGTCGTCAGGGGAAAGGAGAAAAGGAGTGAGGCGATCGTGATTAACGCGTACCCGACGAATAGCTCCCTTCTCGGTGTGCAAAGAGCCGAGTACAGTTGTACTCGATAGATGCGGTCGGGACGGTAATCGACATAAGCACGGACGAGCGAATGGACCTGCAGTTCAAACCCCCTTAAACTGTCTCGGCTACAACTCTCAACGAGACGGTTTGTAGAACTAGATAAGAACGAAATATTTCGCATCAACCCAAAGCTACGGTTAGATATCACATCTCATCCTTTCATCACGACCATCCTCGTCGGCATTTTCGGGCTGCCGCCCCGGATCGCCAGATTTTAGGCTTTGATAATCATCGATACTGGCACATTTTTGTTTTTCATGTTTGCTCTCGATATTGTCGGCGCTGGCAGGATCAGATCCTATTGGTTCCCTGTATTGTGGCGTCTGCAAGAGATCTGTATAGGTGTTATGGAGATGAATTTGTGACGAGCTATGCCGATTACCTACCATTATTCTTTACAACTGGCTACAAGGGCTAGATTTTCGAAACTAACAGAATAGTGGTCCGCGTGGGTTGTAATACTTTACGTGTGGGATAGATTGGCGAGGGTAATGCGATCCTTGCGATCTGGGCTATTAGCGAGTTACCCTCGCCGATCATTCTTCAAGGTAGGAAATAGTCAAGCGGGAATCTGACGATTTCCCCGGGGCCGCCCAGGATGCTTCGTAGATTCTATATCGAGCACGGAGGTCGCCTGGCCTCCAGCGCCGTACAGTAAGGCTTGCTACGCCGCGAGCTCATCGGTGACTGTGCCTCAAGGATGCCGACGTAATGAGCGCGAGTTCATCCTATCTTGAATCTCGATGGTACATAAGCGGATGGGGGTCTATTGGGGGCGGAGATCTCGGCTAGTCTATTGATGACTTGTGGGGGAAATATGCGCCTTATCAATGGTTCGTCACAGCCTTCAATGGTTCGTCACAGCCTTCAGATATTAACTATCTGATTGACTGTGCCATCCGGGGGTTGAAGGCTTCCTGTTAGTGCCGTCGGTGAATGTTACGATATAGTATCAAAGCCCGGATGAAGCCACGCTTTCCATGGTCCTTGAAATGCGTGGACGCTCGTATGGGGGTATAGGCTATGAGAGATCTCACTCGGAACGGGAGAAGCGAAATTGCTCAGTTGACAACGACGCGTGCCGTCCTGTCGGGAAAAGGAAAGAAAAGGGGAAACTTGCGCATGCTCTCTTTGACCCAAGACACGACTTATTCCGGCACCAACAATCTTGATCATCGTCATTCTGACGAGACGTTGGAGCTTAGCTACCTACCTACGTAGCTAAATCTCAGCAGGAGAAATGTCTCGAATAAGACAGACCCTTGGATATAGCGTCAGATAAGCTATGTCCAACTCCATATGTCGTAGCAGTCGGGGCTAAATAGAGATCTCCTCCGCCATCAGGCATGTTGGCGATCAATGGCGCCATCTTCCTCCGTCATTGGCCAATTCTTTAGGTCAACATGACTACGGTCGCTATCAGACGCGCGTATCCCAAGCGTTAGAACATGATTCAGGCGCGCGGAAAGACCACTTCCTTGACGATAGGCGACCTTCCGGAGCCTCATTTTCCTAATTCATTAATTCACTAAATCGATTCCTTATCAACGCCAAGTTTATTTACAGATCTGCGCTTAGATACGCAGCATTCGCGAGCTCAGCTTAGTAGCGAAAAGGGGCTAGAGCGACGACTCATCCTTGGCTTCATTCCAAGTCAAGGGTGCTTTTAGGCCTTTATGACATCAGCGAATCGAAAGTCGTAGCCTTGTCATCAAGAGTCAAGATATCCCATGTAAGGAAAAAACGCCCGCCGGCAACCAAGGAGATCCTGCAGGCAGAATCGATTCGGAACAGGCACGTCGAACAAATTTCCCAGGCTATCTAGCTGGGCCTGGTTCATTGGAGCCCCTTGGCTGCATGGCTTGGAATCTGGTTCGGCTTGAACCGTCATTACTAGCTTCCCTTTCCTGCCTGTCGGGTAGATGCACTGGGGATCGAAGAAAGCAGTGAACTTGCCATCCTTCGCTCGCTTGGATTCGGAATGGAGTCGTTCAAATTCCAAGTTAAACAAGATCACATCGGTTTCGCATGTTAGAGGCTGGATGAACAGCCCAATTCGTCGGCGTGCATCCGGTCAATGCAAAGGCTGTTATTATCAGATTATCTGCTTTCGCCTCCCTTACTTCCTGATCCACCCAGTCCACCCAAATTTGCTGCATCCGCATTACGATTTATATACATACACATATAGAAGTAAGCCCGACACTGCAGCTGCTGAAAAGCTTACGATGGTGTGGGAATACTCCTCGCGACGAGCCGCAATCTATCTTACATGTGAGCCCTGGGAGCGAACAAGCCTACCAGAGCCCATCTCCACAACGGCTGATTCGAGCGCCGTCGAGGTTTCCTGAGGGGAAGCCTGTCGACGTGGTATCCGTACCCCTTCTTTTCTCCTCACCCCGTATGCTGGGGCGTGCTGGTAATCGTCGTTTTGCCACCGGATGTTCCCCTATATAAATTTTGAGTCTCCTCGCTCTGTCGTGTAACCTCCACGCAAGGTTGCGTACCGTACATCCCAGGGTTCTTCCTACTTTCCTAAGATCTAATCAGGGGCCGCATGAACTTTTTTTCTCTCGCTAAGGCGGACAATTATGACAACCAGTCCAGGGTCGAGGGCGAGCATCAACAAAAAACTATTACACCTTCCCGCTCGGGGAGGTCCAACCACACACTCCGATGACCGTTCCCCCAGAGCAGATATCATCCGGGATATGTCGACATTGCAGCTGAGCGATACTTCGAGTGGCGACTTGTAACCGGGAGGTTTTGGTCTTTAATCCTTCAATCCACCTCGGCGACCGGAGTGCTTCGTCGCACTGCGTTTGGGGGAGAGCTATTAGCAATCCATGCGGGTTATATGTGATCTCGGCTGGCACCGAGCTGTGGCGCAAGCGGGACACCAATCCCGTTTCTGGGATCTTCAATGGTATGCCTGACCGAAGCATAGATGCTCTTCGCTTCAGCTGGGTGTAAATTTTCCGCCATACATGCGCTTCACCCACCGAACTGTGGTTCCTTCCCTTCCCTTTCTTTCTCTTTTCTTGGTTCGATTCAGCCACCGATGCACCGCTGGAAAGCCGGTCCGGTGGAAGAGCTAGAACGCGCTGCCGGATCAGTCTTCGACTACCCAACGTCAAAGAACTGACGCGGTATTCCATCACAGGTCTTTTTGTGTTGGTCTGTTTGGCACCGAGTTGGTGGCCATGGCTAATGCTGTTGCGTAACCACTCTCTACTCTCTCGGTCTGTGGTGACGAGGACGGATCTGATTTCAATACCGCCGTGTCGGTTAACTACTTCTAGACGCCTATCGACCATCCCAGGGTTCCATCGGCCTCTATAACTGCCATATGAGCTGCGTATGCAGGGCTTCGAAACAGGAGAAGGGGATGATGAGAAACGGCCAAGGCTGCTCACTGGCGCGTCTCGCGTCCAAGCCAAGAGCATCGACTGGCTCGACCTTAGCAGCAGACGCTTGAAACGCGGGAGATGAGACGGGGATGTCGGGACCGAAGATCTACGACCTCGTTGAGGATTTCGTGATGATAGAGATATTCCTCGATGACGAGCCCTACCGTGCGAAAACTCACGGCTACTAAGTAGTCGATACAAACGTGGAATTTTGACGGCCTTGACACATTCCTGAAATAAGGTATCATGGGATATTTTATTGAGAGGTGTGGTAAGTGGTAGCATCGCTGTGATGACGAATTCTTCCCGCAATGGGAGAGGTAAGTAGTCAAGGACGGATGAGTGCTCCGGTTGAAAGCGTTTTAGCTGAGGTAGGCAGGCTCTTCATTGTCGGCGCCCCATGGCCTGCTGCTCTGCCCTCAATCTTCCTCTTCAGGTCTCTTTACTGAACCTTAGGGAGCCCATCTGCTTCTCTACAGACATTAGGAGTAGCTTGTGATATGTACCTAGGAAGCTACATTTCGAGGTACCTAATAGGTAGTGCGTTGGCGCGAATATGACTAAAGCCTCTATCGAAAAAAAAACCGTTGAACCACGCCAATCTAATCCCTCAATACAGTGGCAGTAACTAACCTACCTGACTAGACATCTCCATACGCAAGTACGGAGGTTACCTTGCTAACAGGGGTGGTCTTTCAGATGATCCAGCCCCTGGGGTGTCACTATTGCAATACACCCCCTGAGAAAGGACCTTGGGGTTAACTCTTGAGAATGTCATCGTTTGGAAGGTGCTGGAATGGAAGCTGCTTTGAGAGCTAACTAGTAGGTACTTGTTTATGGATGTATTGCAATGAAGTCTTCCTACTCACTCCTAGCTGAGTTTAAGAACAACGAAAGGAGGCCAGACAGACAGATATCCACCATACAGGCTCGACATAGTGCTTGTTTCTTGAAATCCTCTCCCAGGGAAATAAACTAAGTAAATAAATTATGCGACACGTAGAATATACCATGTGTAGGTATTCTTACCGGCGATAAGATGTACCAACAGTTCTAGATCATAGGTAGTTTCTCAAGTTAGTAAGACGTTTGAGGGCCTTACTCACCATAACCACAACATAATATGACTCCTCCTTCTAATTAATATGTTGAATTCAGGAATTTACAGAAAGGCCATTGTGCACATGATTCCTATAAAATTCTTGCAGTAAATGATAGCCGATATATGTTCCGCGTATAACAACAAATCCCTTAGACACCTGACTGTCTTATTTTCACAGGGCTAGCCCCTATTTAGATGCGAAAGAAGTTGATATTCCATGTACTCATGGTTAGAAGAAACACTTATCCGTTTTCGATATATAAACGAGAATAAAAGCAAACAGAGAAAGGAGCAATGCTATACAAAAACAAACGTAGGTACCTACGTAGTTTATGTTATCTAATAATAACCACGGTTGTTGCTAAAGAAAGCCAAGTCAGGGGCTCCCGATTCATTGCTTACAGCGCTAATGCTAATTACAGCCAGCACAGGACTTTCCAAAGCTCTCGGCGTTCATTCTCAAGATAGGTATGTCCAGAAAAAAACAACAGGCTACTAACCAGAAGACCAGAGAATTAATACAGAAGTTAGTTCACCCTATCCGATAGAAATAGTTTATATATATATAATAAAAAGAACGGGGAAAAACGGAAAATAGGGGAGAAAAGTGATATGCTGCACCTAGGATTCGAACCTAGGCCTTCGGATACAAAGGTGCCCTTTTCTCAATACAGCCTGTAGACACCAGCAACCATCTCATGAAAGTCGCGTGAGGGGCCCGAGTTGGTTGATGGCCTCGGATTATATTTAGATATATGAAGGAAACTGCCCACCTATCAATAGCTTCGTAATATGACGGCGGACGGGTCTTTGTCAAAATGAAGTGTCGTGATAAACGATTGACAAGCGACATTCACTTTATTGAAAATGCTGTGACGATTCGCTTTACGACAGAGGTAGTTTGTGTTGGGCCCCAAGATTCTTTAAGACACTAACGGGCATCTACGAAGCATCCTCCAAGACCTTTATATCATATATACAGACTTCAACCGGAGGCACCTTCTATACTTGTTGTTCTGCCCCTTGGCTGAACTCCCTCATACGAACGTTCATGGGCTATGGTCAAGATTGAACAGGAGAGGGTGTGGAGCATAAGGTGCTTTTACACCGGGTAGGTGCCTAGGTGATACCTACCTAGGTATATTAAAGGGGCTTTGAACTCTTAAATCCTCAAACTAGAGTTCGGCGATAATGGTTCTTTAGACATACTAGGTAGCTGCTAGCAAGCATCTGACAAACTGCTTTCTACCGCACTGCTTTGCTAGGATACCCTTTCCCCATTGCCAAACATAGACCAGAGGCTACCGAATTCATGTATAGCTTATTTACGAAGATACAAGAATGAAGACGTAGAATATATACTTCATGTATATTGACATGTATATTTCTATAGTTCTCAAATGCTCACAATATTACAACTATATATGTGTATTAGACGGCGTCATGCCTCTTGCCAGTATCAATGAGGTCGACGCCATCTCCAAAAACCCACCACGCTACTCCAAGTTGCTCTGTTAGAAATCTAATATGCTGCATCCAAATGCTTATGCTCGTGCTCATGCTCATGTCCCTTTATCACGTTTACGCTTTCCAAACTAGTAGCCCACCTCCAGATCAGCTATTGAAGGGTCTGAAAACATCATTATACTCATCAGGGAACAGGCTCGGCCCCATCCCCATTTCCTAGTTTAGGACTTGGGGGGTCTTGAGGGATCTTAGGACTCTTTACCCTCTTCCCAGCGCCTTTGCCCACAATCTTCTCTGTCCAATTCCACCCCGGGCTAGCAGCTCTTGGTGAGTCACTATCTTTGCCCCCCGATATTGATTGGCTCTTAGGGTGTTTACCATATGCCATGTCTATGTCCATCTCGCTGTCATCGCCGCTGTCGAGGAAGTCGCGGTCACTCCACCCCGCGGACTCAAGGCCGTCGTATGAAGTACGGGGCGGTGAATCTCTTGAACTATAAGGAGCTGATTGTCTCTCCTGGGCTGGCGATGGTAAGTCCGGTACGAGGTCCGCGGCCTCCAGAGTCTCGCTCATAGTGTGTTTATGAATTTTTGGGTTATCACTGGAATTTGCGCCTTCTCGTGGCTGGGCATCTTCCTGCGTATACGTCTCAGCGCCAGTTTCGTCGGGTGCTTGATGAAGTGATTTCGCGCGGTCAACGCCCTGCTCGGTTTCGTCCTGCCTACGAGCCGCTGCACTGTCGCTGAAATGGGCGTCCACTAAGTGTTTCACCACAGGCCAACCAAATGCATTGGCAAACTTGCGACGCACAATGATATTGTTGTGTGCATCTGGTTCTAGTTTAACTAGGACTTTCCGCCAGCTTAAGCCACGGTGATACGCCCGAGCAATCTTCTCCTCAACTTTCATGTTGGAACTATCGATGACGTGCTCACTGTCTCTGTTAGGATCGGTGGACAGAGGGTCGTCGTAGTCACGAGTTGATAATTCGGAGTCCGCATGCCCAACAGACGGGTTTAGCGAAGGGCTCTTCGCAGGGTCTCCTTTTGGAGACGAAGTTCCATTCGATTTATTTCGGAACGCGAGTGATCTAGTCGTCCGTTTCTTGAGTGGTGGGGGCGGGATATCGGATGGATGATAAACTCGATCATGAAATATGGTTCGTGGGCGTTTCGAAGGATCGATGAGATATTCAACCGACGGCAACTTGGGATTGAGTAGATCGCCTGCTGACTCAAAAAACGTCGTCCGCGGAGGGGCAGATACATTACCGGCTGGATCTTCGCTAAGCTCCTGGCCGGAAGATACCTTTGATCTACTCGAAGATGCCGAATCCGGTGCTGCGTCCACTTTCAGAGTCTGACTGCGCTTGTAGATTTTATTTTCTCGAGGAGATGGGGGAGGCGTTTTACGAGCTGCTGAGTCGCTAGATTTGAAGAAACTGAAGAGTCCAGAAAACGGAAAGTCATTATTTGTTTGGGAGTTTTGGCCTACCGCCCCTGCTTCTGTTTGTGCTGCAAGGTTTATACTGCGCCTATCGTCCTCTAGAATCGCATTTGTTGACGGTTGAGGCACTTCGTGAGAATCACTATGAGAAGATTCAGATTCGACGGCGGACGGTGCGAGCGATGGAGGCTCCTCAGTTGTTGGCGACCAGGGACTTCTCCGTGATGTTACGTTCGCGCCAGTCAACTCTGCCCACCCAAACCCAACTACTGTCTCAACCAGACCGGCTTCTCGTCGAGCCTTTTCTACTCGGCCAAGCCCTTGCCAGTCTAGAAATAAGAGGCAACTTGTGCGTAATGGCACAATCCCGTCATTCACCACGTTGGAATAGACAGTTCGGTTGCGAAATTTTCTCAGAGCGGTGTGCGCCGGACCAGTGGGTAGAATACGCAAGAGAGGTTTCGACTCCGGCTGCACTTCTCCCATTACCTTCTTGTGAGCACTTTCCCCAAGGGTTCCAACTAATGCGCCCCAGCCACTCCTGGCAAGTGTTGGTGCTCGCCAAGTAAGACCTAGGTCCTGTCCGGTCCTTCCGACGAGACCAAAATCGAGTGCGAACTTGACATATAATGGATTCTCGTTGCTGAGACCCAACAAGGGAGATGCAAGCGCAATGAAGTTGATTGGCTTGATTAAGTTGAAGAAATGAGGTGAGTGTTTTTGTATGTACGCGATGGCATAAACTTGAATGAGACCTCCAAGGGAGTGTCCGATGAAACTAATACTGGTAATTTGAAATTTGCGATCACCATTATGGTGGTGGCCTTTATGTATCGTGCTGTGTCGATGTGCGGGCTTTCCAGTTGTATCATCGTTCCCGTTGTCGCCCCTGAAAGCGTGCGCAATGCTCTCGCTTGCCGCTTTCTTCGTGGACGGTAGAAAAGGCTGGTCTGGATATGTCATGGAAAGTACCCAACGCGCCAAACGTTTGCCCAGAAACTTAATGCCCCTTTCTGTCCGAGTAGCATTTCCTGGGAAGCCTCGTACTATGATCTCCTCTTCGTCGTATTCATCGTCATCGTCGCCGTCGCGATTGCTGTCTTTAGGTTGCTCTTCGGTGACTTCTGAATGATCGCCTTGCTCGCTATCTTTCTTGGCCTTCGCTTGTGCTCTCCTTACTTTTGCGTCGGCCTTAGCTTGTTTCGCAGCTGCATCGATGCTCTCTTTCATATACAGCATATCACATCCCAGATTACTATGCAGTCCATGCGTCAAGACGACTAGGTGAACTTTCTTTGGAGGTGGTTGTTTTGTACTTTGTTCCTCTGTGTCTGCTGGTGCTGCTGGTTCTACAACGCTAGTGGCTGCCTTTTCAAGACCTGCTGGCTTAGCACGTCCATGTTCCCATTCGGTAATGCCGGGCAGCGGTGGTGTGTTCCAAAGACTTGCAGTGTCCTCGACCTTGAGAAAAACAGCTTTCGAGAAGACACCTTTCAGTTGGGCGGGATGATGGCCATCCTTTGAACCCAAGCTCTGCTGGAAATCAACCACTCTTCCGGGTTGCGGGACCTGGGCCTGACCACCTATAACAGGTACACCGCCTAAGTTGAGACTCTTCTCATCTCTCGCGAGCATGACCTCGTAGCCTACATCTGCACTGGTAGAGAAAATGACCTGACTTGAAACTTCTACCACCCAACTTGCGCTTTTCGAACCTTCTTCGCCTGTAGTATTATAGCTGAAATCGCCATGCGCAGCACCTATTCCGGCGTTCTCGCGGATAACGTCGGGTACAATTAACTGACATGACCACGTGCCGCCGGCCTTGAGCATAGGCTCAAATTCAGGGACACCGTAACGGCGGGGGTTCTCGAACTTGGTATTCGGATCATAGTGGGCGGGATAGGCGGAAACGCTGAGGGTATAAGGTCCGTGGACAAAGGCGGCTCGCAGAGGAATAGGGCATGTATTGCGGATACGTAGGTGCAGGACGTCAGGAGAAGGCAGGATTCGGTCGTGCGATGGCGAATAGGTTATGGTATAACGGACGACTTCACCGATCTTGACACTGCCTATCTGATGCAAGAGAAGCATGTTTTAGGAGCGACCTCGTTACTGACGGCCGCAAGGATGCAGATATTGTTCATTGGACTGGAGGTACGAGCTGCGGCGGTTGTTGATAAACGAGAGGTCGAGAAAATCGGTCAATGGGATATGGGATATGGCAGATTAGATCGTGAACAGGAGGATCGACAACGGTATAGGGTCTAAGATATTATTCATAAAACAGGGGAGAGCCTTTAGCTTAGGTACCAGGTAAATAGCATTGGTTGTATGGGTTATAGGTGCTGTGGGAAAAGTAGGACAAGAATGAAGTGACGAATTAAAATATGATGATAGAATCCATAATAATCGGCTTGGTCGGAATCAAAATCGAAATCGGAATCCGCGTCGTTTTCGATGGAACCGTATTAGCCAAGACGGTAGCTAAATAATTACCTTTCTATGATGTAAAGGTCGAGTTGAGGAAAGAAGCACGAGGACAACCCTTAGAAGTTTAACAAAGCTACAGAGCTCCCAGGATCCGATGTGTCGGGCAGAACCCGCGCCCGCGCACCCGTTGCTGCCGATGCTACGTAGGTACATACACAGTCAGCCTAATGCACCGCCGACGTCACAATTCGAACTTCTGGAAGGCGCGCTGCGCTAGAGTTCAGACACTGCACTGACTGCACCACCCAAAATACCTAAAATAGCTCCGCCACGTCTCAAATGCAGAGCTCTTGTGCCACTTCAAGATCCCTTTTGGTACATATCTCATATCTTGATAATCAATTGACTTGTCCAACTTTATCATTTCATTCCAATTTACAGTACGCACATGAATTATCTCAGCGTTGTTTTATTACTAGCTTATGAGACGGGATATATCATTCGAACCCTTGTTTTATAGGAAAGCGAATTGAACGATTTCATGGATGGTTGTTTCAGTTCAGGATATTAAATATCGAGAACCACGACGCCCAATACTTCAATTTACAAGGTAACTCAAGATGCTACCTCAACGCTCTGTCATCCCAAGTCAACATACGAAATATGTCTCGCTTCGTCCAACTATTTTTAAAGCATACTATATCTCGGCCTTTCAAGCTATAAGTTAAGTACGACACGCAATTGTGATATATGTAGGTATAGCGATGACATTTGTCTTTTCGTCCTCAGCTGCTTCTGTTATTACCCAAAAATAGCAAAGTAAGTCTTTTTAACAATATGACTTAAAGGAAATAGTTTTCATTGTAACCGACTTCGAAATAATCACTTATTATTTTTAAAATTTGAGTTTCAAAATTGCTTCAAGGTTAGTTATCTCTTACGAAAGACGAATCAGGCGGATGGTCTTAACATGCGATGCTAAAAACTACGAATTTTTTTAGTACTTCCCCTCCGCGGGGTTCAATGGATGAAAATTTGAGCAGATACAAAAAGCCAAGAACAACGGACCTCATCCTAAAGTCCGCTTAGGCCTGAACTAAGAAGTTGTCTTGGGTAGGAATTGGCATTTTGCTAAATGCTCATCACTTACATCTATTCAAATTGAAATAGCAACATAAGCCTTCGAGAAATATTTACTCAACTTACTTAGTGTCTTCCTCCCTCGGGGTTTTTCATGAGTCGGTACTGATCTGGTTGACCGGTTTCGAGATACCGAAGCTAGGCAAACTTGAGAGGAAAACCGCGACAACTCAATCGGAGATGCATCGCGAGCCTTGAGACACGGTATCTCCTCTCTACAGGGATCCTTTCGGTAAAGATTCACGGGATGATTCACTAGGCTTGAGGCTGCAGAAAGCTGGTTGGTTCGTGAAGCTCTACATATGTAGTTGGAACTCGAAACTAGCCGTTGCACAGCAGCAATCCTTCAGCTGCCTGATGCAGTAATATTGACTGGTTAAATAGGCAATACTGCAGTAGACGATGTCTTACTTACATCGGCAAAGTCTAGGTACACGAGCAACGAAACGAAAAAGAATAATTCCCAAGAAGGCCAGGCCAGCTGTGCAACCGAAAGCGCCTAGGTACCACCTAGACTAAACTTCAGGAACGGTGATGATCATTAATATATAGGACAACGATCTATCGCAGAACGCACGTCTCTTGTGTAACTGGAACCTATCTGCCTGCCTGCCTGATGATTGATCATCAGCCACCCCTTTTATCTTGCATTTGAGGGAAGGTTTCGTCGGGAGAGGGCTGATGACGATCCATGAGGAGTCAGCATGCTCGTGACGGAGCATCGTCACCCTTCAGTGGTATCGAATATCTGTATTAAGTCACTTGATGGGTAACCCATCCGTCATAGGAAACGGACTTCTCCCAAGACCATGACACGACCTGCACGACTTATGTGCGATGGGAGAGGCAGACCTCTATTTGTTTTTTCAACGTGACAAACGGATTAGACTGACATGTGAGGGGCATTCGGCCATCGAAGGGACCATTGAGATGGCAGGATTTAAGTCGCGCTTGTGCCGCCAGAATCACCGTCCAACCTGGTCCAGCCAACCGTTAGTCGCCTTTCAGGGGTTCCCGGCCACTGATATCCACTCTGGCATCCATACGGGCCATTCCCCAGGGCCCCCCAGGTGAAGATCACAGGTGAGGGTCAGAGCAGGAAAAAGGGCAGGGGACAGCGAGCCGATTAGGGATCCTTACGTATCTGTACAGTACCTACCGGAATATCAGGTATCAATCTGGAAGTAGCATCGTCCTTTTCAGGTTCGAATTTTTTAACCAGCTTACTTACATGGCCCGGCCCACACTGTTTCTGTTTCTCCTTGTCTCACCTCCATAGCTTTTCGTAACTTCGCGTCTCGTATCCCCTCTTTCACTCACTCAGAGGCCGTCAGAGGAAACGCGTTGCCAATTGTCATGTTGGATTCGAGAAGGAAAATTCTCTGTCAAGTGGTAAACTAGGTGCGATCACACATCATTGTCCTGCGACTTTGACGTCTTCTCTGGGAATGTTTTCGCCCGATTCCTGCCTGCACATCCCACTCCTAATGCAGACTGCAACCACCCAGCCCAATCAGCTCCGAATTGAGTGCATGCACGTAGCCATTCAGGAGTAACCAGCTGTTCATTTTCCACGATACCGGCGGACCTCCTGGACCAACCGAAAATAGTAGAGCAAAAAGACGGCGTCTGCGATATCCCCCCATAGCTAACTAACCTACTACGGGGCTGACACGACGGACGAATGGCACATTCCCAGCATGCGGCAGCCAAGCACCGGTCCAGACGTCGACACCAGACACGCACTCTCTCCCCATCTCGCCACCATGATTGGGACTCACGACATCCTACCAACCCCCATTCGCTGCCTTACCGACCCCGACAACCTGAAATACGAAGGCCCGCCGGCTGGAGCTCGAACTATTATTCCCATCGAGCTGCACTAGTGTCCGACGAGGACGACGAGGACGACGACTTCGAAGTAGACATTCCCGACCCGATGCCTCATCCGCAGCAGCAGCAGCAACTAACCCGGTCGGGCGGCGCTTCCGCCCGGAACGGAAAAGGTCGGGCCGTATTTCTTGAAGTGGAAGAGGACGACGAGGATGAGGAGCAAGACCGGATGATATCGAGACTTAGGTCTAGATCGAGGCCCAGGACGCAGTCGAGATCGAGAATAAGGTCGAGGGCTCAGTCGAAGGCTAGAAGCGAGACCAGCAGCGGAGATGACGAGACTTACGAACTTTCAACGCCCCCGAGGTCCACGCCCGTATATCGGTCCAGGCCGACATCGAGGCTTCCTTCGCCGTCTTCCTCGAGAAGCTCAAGCGTCGACTCCGATTCGACGACATCCTCGCAGGATATGAGGCTACAGCGGCGAGCCCGTAGTAAAAGACCGTCCGAAGTGCCGGTGACGCCCCCGCCGCCCCCACCCGCCGTCGATCGGGCCGAGCGTCGACGACATCGGCAAAGACAACGAGACAGATCTGCTTACAGGGATGAAAGCGACGACGACGACGAACCCGAATTTGACAACAGAATCCGTTTGCGAGCGAGATCCAAGTCCGTACCGCGGCAGCCCACACGAAACATGGATTCGCGCAGTTCTTCCATGAGACGCACTTATCGGCTCCGATCTCGAGATCGGTACGATGAAGGGGGGCCTAGTTCTTCGTCTAAGAGGTGAGTAGCTACGACGACGAAAATAGGGGACCAACGACGCTAATTATGAATTTCCGTCAGACCACATCATCGGAGGAGGTATTATGAGTCTGATGCGGTATACGCCGAGAAGCCCGCGCTCCCTCGGGCGCACACCGCACCCAGTTCTCATGTGACGTCGCAGAGTATGAGCTCCTCTTCAAGACGTTCTTCAACATTTCTGAATAGGTTCATGGGTCCAGGACTCCAATCGCCCCCAGATAAGCACTCGAAAATGTAAGTATACGTTTAGAAAGTAACTCCTCGAGAAAAAAAAAAGACACAAAGGAAAGGGATATAAACCTAATCGATTTTATTTTTTCTTGTAGGGTCGAATGCGTCGTTTGTCTCGACGACGTCCCAGCATCGGAGACGGCCAAGCTAAAGTGCAAGCACCGGATGTGCAAGTCGTGCCTCAAGCGCAGCTTCAAGCTCTCCGTCAAGGACCCGGCACAGATGCCGCCCCGGTGCTGCAAGTCGGAGTGTATCCCGGTGAAGCACGTCGAAGCCCTGTTCAAAGACGACTTCAAGAAGACGTGGAACCGGAAGTTTCACGAGTTTTCCACCCGAAACCGCGTCTACTGCCCGGGTAAGAGGTGTGGGCAGTGGATCAGGCCCGACCAGATCCAGCGGCACCAGAACGGCCGCAGGGTGGGCAAGTGCGGCAGTTGTCAGACCCGAGTTTGCTGCGACTGCAACAACAGGTGGCACGGCTCCGGCCCGTGTCCCATGGACGAAGAGATGAACCAATTCCTACAGCAGGCCAAAGAGGAGGGATGGCAGCGTTGCTATAACTGTAGGAATATGGTCGAGTTAAAGGAGGGTTGCAACCACATGACTTGGTACGCCATCTTTTTCTGTTTTTTTCTCATGACAATTCGTCTCCCTCTGTATCTGTCTAACAAAAACATTTAGTCGTTGTGGTGCCGAGTTTTGTATGATATGTGGGCTAAAATGGAGGACTTGTGAATGCCCCTGGTTTAGCTACGACGGGCCAGAGATAGATCACCTCGACCCTATGCAGATTCCGGAACCGGTGATAGATCGCGAGAGGCTTAATCTCAGAAGCGCCCCGCCACCTGCGATACCAGGTATGGATACTAGACGACGCTCGCCTGGCAACGGATTACGAAACAGACTAAACCCTTTCGAAGACGAAAGGCTTCTTAGACGCTTTCAGCAGGAACAACAAGACGAAGAGCTCGCACGAAGACTTCAGTTTGAGGATACGGAAGACGACTATATGTCACCCGAAGATATTGGAGGCAACCATACAGCTCACTTCCCACGTAATGAATACAGACGCCGTGCACAGACTGTAGTGGCACCGCCAGCACCTGCTCCACCACCGGTAGCACCGTTCGACAGAGCAAACTCAGTCATAGACTACGTTGCCGGTGTGAACAGAGCACGCGGAGTTGGTAACCGTGCTAATTCGATGGAACGCCGCCTCGCGGACCGGTTCGAACAGCGTCAAAACAATAGCCCGGCTCAGCATTCTTTTGGGCTTCCTATACCTCCTCCTCCCGCTCCTCCGCGAGCCATGGGCCCGCCACCTATCCCGCAAGTACCTTTAGGACAACCCCCTATGTTGTCACGGAGACATACCGTGGATGATGATTTGTACGACAGTCCACGAGCCAACCGAATTCCGGAACGGATGCTCCCGAGAAGAGCCTCGACGCGCGGTTATGTTGATGAGCCGGCTTTCTACGAGCCGGCCCCCCGAGCAAGGCGCCGAGAACGAGCGGCGTCGACGTCGCCTAAAGATTCCGTCCTCGCCGGACTCACCGGCCCGGGACGCGGGATGCATCGCGTGTACGAGTGGGTGAACCACGTCGAGCCCGACCCCCTCACTACGTAAAATCCCATGCCATAATGTTAAGTACACCAAACTGATGAGTTTATTTTATCTAACGCCTGAGCTCACATCGGAACCCCCTCCTGTTTTTGACGATGTTCATGATGCAAATGATGCGGTTGACGAGGTTTTCTTTCACGAATAATCTTCCCCCCCCCTTTTCGCGCAAGTTGTATCACCATCTGCATTTACATTTACATCTACAATCTACAGCAATATCTACGTTTTTACGCAAACCGGCATGTTGGCGAGTCGAGCTTCTCGAGCGGCTAAAGCTATTCATACAAAGCAAATATTACTGGATATGGTTCAAGTCTCAGGACACATTGTATTTCGTATTCGGTTGTTTTTTTTCTGGGGTAAATCTGGGAACAAGGAGTTTTCACGGAACCAAATCCATCGTTATTATTCTTACTATCTCGAGGATTCTCTACAGACATTCTATAAGGGGGAAACAGAACTGTCGCTTTTTCGTTTCTTCCTGTCACGTCATCATCCTACCTACATAGAAAGAAAGAAAAACCCTCTCAAAAAAATAAATTCAATCACCGATTCCTCTTAAATCTCGTACGCTTTTAAGCAAAATCAGAAGCCATCCTCTCCAACCCGATGTCCAACATGAGTGACTTGAGTGAAGAATAAAAAAATCAAAATTTCGTAGATCCTTGGAGCAAAAAAAAGTATGGGATATCTGATCGCTAAGCCCCTTTGAATCCGAACCCTTTCTCTCCCTCCACATTCCCTTCGCTTGCACCGCGTAAACAGCCTAGAAAACAGCTTGGAACTTAACTCCTCATCTCCACCCCTCATAACGTACCTACCTACCCAATCACCCCCCTTTAATACCGCGGCATATGCTCCCCACTCGAATTAGCCACACCATATTGCGGCGTCACCGGTACATGACACATCACGGGCTCCGGCTCCGGCTCGACGGGCACCTGTCCCAGCTGGTACGCCGACGCCTCGGGCTGCGGCTCCGAGGACTGCAGCGCGGTGATCGCATCGTACGACGGCGGCTTCTCGCTCGGTATATCGTCGAAATGCGGGTGCACCTGCGGGTGCGGCGACACTTGCTGCTGGTACTGGTGGTACTGGTGGTGGTGGCGCGGCTCGGGCGGCGACGGGGGCGATGCCGCGCTTGTCCCGACGGAAGGCGAGTACGTCAGCGCGGGCGTGGGCAACGCCAGCCCGGACATGGACGAGCCGGTGTGGATCGAGGGCGCGCGCTCCGGGTACGGCGTCGGCGCCCAGCGGATGTGTTCGGATGAAGAAGGGGGTAGGCTGTGGTTGCTTGCTGTGCCTGTGGGCGGCGTCGCGCGGAGCGTGCTGGAGGATACGGGCGTCATGGCGTACCCGTCGTTGATCTCGGCTTCTTTCGCCGCGGCGAGCTGTCGCTGCTTGCGGCGCGGGCGGATGCGCAGGAAGAACCATAGCGCGAGGGCGATGAGGATGGCGACGACGACGCCGATCACGGCGCCGGCTATGGTGCCTCCCGGAGGGCCCCTCGGCGGGCCCGGGTCGTTGTTGTTGTCGTGCTTGTCGTCGTCATCGTCGTCGTCCTGCTGCTGCTGCTGCTCCTGTTCTTGTTGCAACTCTTGCAGGTGTTTCTTCTGGTCCTTCAAGTACTCGTCATACGGGTCGTCGTCATCGCGCTTGCGTTGTTGCCTGCTCCGAAGCCCGACCGTGCGCTTTTCGTCCGGTGCGGTGATGATCCTTGCCTCGACCAGTTGTTGCGAGATCTCGGTCGCGTCTCGAGAGTTTAGGGCTACGTTATCTCGCTCTACCGATTGCCTCGATTGCGCGATATTCTTCGCCGTGGCACCCGCCACGAGGGCTGCAAGCAGCAGGTAAGAAGGGTGCCGCATGGCGGACTACTTTGGTTTGAATGGGGGAGTGCCTTCGTGATCCGTGTGTTTCTCGGGCTTAATTATGACTTCTCCGTTATAGGATTTGCCGCAAGTTATGAACTTGGATTATAGGCAATTCATTTACCTTCACCGCTAGCACTACGGCCGGTACTATTTCGAAAGGGGGTAAAAAACAAGAGACGGGGTTTCTTTTTTTTTCTTTTTTCGCTGGTGATAACGAGGGAAGACTGGGACTGGGACTGGGACTGGGGCGTCCTCGACGGACCCGACGGAGTTGTGCAACGACGAGAGTAGGAAGAAGACGTCGTGTTTTGCCAAGATGTGCAGGTTCCAGCCACCAAGACCAAGATCCGCAAAGAGTTTATGACTTTAGTTGGCCTCTCCCGTCATAGGGCTAGCGAAAGGTGCATGTAGCCAATTATGGACCAACAGAACTTCGCACTGCCCCGACGCTGTAGCATGTAGAAAAAGGACCACCATCAGGGCAGCACCCGTTCGTTTTTAGCGACACGTCTTATACGGGGGTCCCACCTTCTGGGGATCGCAAAAGGCTTATTGTTCCGAATCTGTCTACTGTACGGCGTAGCCCCAAGGCCCCAAGGCCCCAAGGATGGGCTAATAACCGTGATAGCGTGGGATGCTTACCGTGTCTAATTAAGGATTTCCCCTTCGTCATGCACTGTGCCAGCGGGTACGGGGCGGCGAAAGTCGATATTCGTGCCGAGACTTTTATAAATCACTTCGGAATCGAATTTACGTCTTAGGACCTATCCTCAGCAGGGTAGACGTCGATATCACGTTCTACTATCCAAGAGAAAGGGCACGTTGTGTGCGTGATCTCAGTATACTTGCCTACTCTATGCAAAGAGACGGCACACTCGAACCGAGTTGGAAAGACTCAGAAAGTGGACGCGTCCGCACCGTGGCTGAGATCTTACACTGCAGCATTCCGTACTCAGCTCTCATCCAACCCGAACCCGACGATGAAATAAATTATAAGCAAACCTCTCTGCCCTCGCGTTCATGCAAAACGAAATCCCCTCGGATGGCTAGTTAGAGCGATGATGAGGCATGCAGGTACAACAATCCAAGTTTATGATAACATTTCGGGATTTCGTTTTGCTTGGCTTTCGTAGATCGTTTTGTCGGTCGACTTCGAGACATCAACGCTCTTAAGCCTGTCCTACCGTGAGCCAAGGATAGGTTAGGTAGCTGACCGGTTTCCACCTTTCTGTCTTGTATGTTTGTGATGTATGCGCGAACACGTCCAAAAATTCTCTCATTGCTTCCTATGACGCTCGCCCGGCCTGTAACTCCGGCTGGCGTTTCTTACTGGGCGCCCAGCATCGAATTAGGATCCTGGATGCGCCGTGTAACCGAAGCTGACAGCGCAACTAATTCAATAGTGTGCGTTGGGCACCCAGACAAGAGAGGATAGGAAGCATTAGGCATAACGATTGGCAATGCAGCGATAGTGAAAAGTTTCTAGGCCCCCGAAAACCGTTGATCTATCCTCGTAGTGCCTAGGTACCTAGATACTGAGCGTAGCGCTGGACAGCCTGCTTCATGTGGTATTATTAATATATTATGAGGGTTTCCTATTAATTAGGGCAGTGAGGCAGGCTGCAGCAGTGGTCTAACAAGCCAACTCGATGACGGGGGATGGGGGTACCTATGAAGCGATGCTTACTTCAATCTCCATACATGCTCGAGCCGGATTGGGTGAGAATAGAGTGATACGAACTCACTCTTTTTAAAGGCACATTATTCGTTGCCAATTCATTTCCCCTTTCCTCCCCAAGCTGGCAGGCTGCGTACCCCGATACATATTATGCCTTTCATTATCTTTCTAAATCTTTCATATCTCAACCTCAGAGTCACCGACAGCATGACTTCTGCTGGGTGCCTGTGAAGATAGGTAGGATTCCTTGGGATAGGCAACACGGCAACCTAGACAGACGTCCACCTAGGAACCGTATGCGCACTCACTGAGGCTCTGGATCGGCATGCGGCGATGCCGGCAGGCCGCGATGATTGCATACGAAGCAGAGATCGGTACGGTGCCTCAAACTTGATGGCCGTGATTGGCTCATTCTCCCCAGCAGCAATAGGACCAACCTTTCTGCTGACGAGAGTCAATCAGATTCTCTTCTTGCATCAACCAACAACTGACTTATGTGAGTACTCCACGGGATGAAGTTGCCGAGATCTTCTGCAGCCCTCTACTAGAATGTAAGCGCTAAACGAGTAGGCTATGTAAATTTCTCTCTAAGCTATGTCCCTAAGTGCCGGATAGCCTCATGTATGTACTTCATATCATTCAATAATGTGACCGCAACCCCGTTCGGCGTTAAGTGAATAACTACCTAGTAGGTATTTATCTCTTAAGTGTTTTGAGCCCCCCTAAAACTACCTGTGATGCTATTTCTTTGATATACGGGAGTGATGACTTATGCATAGCTTCTACTACCATGCTTGAATCCGAATATCATTCTATAGTCTTGGGAATGACAGCGGCGGCCAAGAGTTTGGTTTGCCTTGTCAGACTATACCAACCCCTAGGATGTTACCCCCTTAGCTAGCTCAGGGTTGGAATCCCGATGAATACAACTTAGTGGATCTCACTTGATCTAGTGAACTAGATCTAACTAATCAAAAATTATATTTACAGATGCGATTGGATTATTACTTGGGGTGAGGTGCTTCCGAAGGAGGGGTCTTGTAGCCTTGGGTCAGCCAAAGAGACAGACATTAGGAAATATGATTCATAAGTGCCTTTACGTATATGGTATACGCCACTGACGACATAACTCGACGTTGAGATATTAAGCTGATATGCATTAGTTAAACTAGTCTTTAGATTCAGTTGCCATCAACTTACTATAATACTGTCAGTAATAGGTCCCTAAGTCAAGCGTAAAGTGAGTGCAGAGGAGCGGCGTAGCCGCTGCTAGTATATAGCAAGTATGAGATGAACTAATAAC